GACCAATCCCCTCCCTAACTCCCCACCTACACTCACCTTTACTGGCCACATCCCCGCCTCTTCGACCTGTTTGTTTCCTCTCCACCTATCCTCTCCTCTATCCATCTTCTATCCACCTCCCACTCTCTCCCTATTTATTTCAGAACCCCCTTCCCCTCCCCCTTTTCTGATGAAGGGTCTAGGCCCGAAACGTCAGCCTCTCTGCTCCTATGATGCTGCTTGGCCTGCTGTGTTCATCCAGCCCTGCACCTTGTTGTCTCGGATTCACCAGCATCTGCAGTTCCAACTATCTCTGATTCAATTTTTTAAGCAAGTACAGAAATAAAAATCAAAAGGAAAGATATGTGATGGGATGGAAGGCTCAAGGAAATTAACAGTAAAAAGGATGGTAATGTAAGGCAAATGTTGATGGTAATGAGACAAAGAAGAGACAGATTTAGAGAAAATCCATTAAGTAATCCATTTTCCAGACACAAGCATACGAGTTAGGAGCAGGAGTAAGGCCACCTGGCTCCTTAAGTCTGCTCAATAATTCAGTAAGATCGTGGCTACTCAGATTGTAATTTCAATTCCATATTCTTGCCTACTTCCAGTAACCTTTCAACCTCTTGCTTGCCAAGAATATATTGAGTTCTGCCTTCAAAATATTCAGGGACTTTGCTTCCACCCTTTAGAGGAAGGGAATCCCAAAGACTCATGACCTTCTGACAAAAAAAATCAGCTCATCTCTGTCTTAAATAGGGGACCACTTGTTTTTAAGCAGTGTTTGAACCTTTGTTTAGATTGTCGTACTGAAGAAATGTCCTTTCCACACCCACCCTGTCAAGATTCTTCAGAATATAATATGTTTCAGTCAAGCCACTTCCTACTTTTCTGAACTCCAATGGATACAGGTCTAGCCTGTCCAACCATCCTTGCAAGACAACCCATCCATTCTTTGGTATTTATCTCCAAACTGCTTCCATTGCATTTACCTTCCTCCTTAAATAAGGAAACCAATACTGAATGCAATACTCCAGTTCTGGTCTCACCAATACCCTGTATAACTGAAGCAAAGTCTCTCTACTTTTGTATTTGATTCCCATCGCAATAAATTATAACATTATAATAGTTTTCTCAACTACTTGCTGTCCCTGCGTGCAAGCCTTTTGGACACCCAGAACCCTTTTGCATCTCAGATAATATGCTTCTTATTGTTCTTGTCAAAATGGACAATTGCACATTTTCCCATATTATAAGCCATTTGCCAGATCTTAACCCACTCATTAACCTATTTATACCCCTTTGGAGCCTCCTACATCCTACAAGAAAGGTGTAAGTCTTTCCCCATAATAATTAAACAATAGTTGGCTGAAAAATTAAAGCAGTGTGAGCTTGCCACCCGAAAGTGGGCTCACCCTATTAGTCCTCTACAGCTAGTGTCAACAAACAGCCTTATTTTTGACCTGTGACATGTCTGTGAAAGGAACAAAAAAAAGTCTGCCTTCGAAAATAAGAACTGTTGCTTTAAATCAATTAGGATTAAACAACTACTTTATCTGCCTTACACACAGTACAGAGATTAAAATTTTAAAAGGCTACAGCATAGATTTAGTTTGAGATTATGTTGTGAAACTAAAAACTACTGTAGATAAAAAATTAGACAAAAGCTGCATAATTGTTTCCTGGTGTGAGGAGCTGTTAGGGTAGAATGCATTTAGGACAGCCAATATTTTATCATCCCAGTACAATTTCGCATTTTGCACGTAATTCTGAGTTATTTTGACCCCCACATTAAAATGGATAATATGTGCAACCAATAAAAACACTGGAACGTAGGAACAACAGCAAGCCATTCAGCCCTTCCAGCCTGATTGTCATTCAGTTAGATCACAGTTGATTTATATCTGTATTTAATTTATCTTTGTTCATTTTCTCTTGGTACCCTTACCTAACTCAAATCTGTTGAAGTGCCTGTTAAAAATTTTAACTGACCCCTAGCGTCTACAGTTTTCTGAAGAAGTGCTCAAGATTTCCACCGTCAATTGTTTGAAGAACAGCTTCCTGATTTCAATCCAAAGTTGTCTGGCTCTAATTTTTAAGATTATGCATCCTTGTTTTGGAATTTCCTTCACTAGAGGAAATAGTTTGTCCCTATTTACCCTATTGAACCCTTTAATCATTTTAAAGATATTTAGATAACCCTTCATCTTTCTAAAGTTGAGGGAATACAAACTAAGTGTATGCAACCTGTCATAATTTAAGGTCTGGTTACATTGCAGAATGAGCTGCAAGGAATGAACATTCAGTTATCTGTGTGAACTAGTGATATTATGGACATTGTTGTAGGTCTTCTCAACTAAACAATCCTTAAAAAAACAGTAAATAGGACATTGCCCCTATGCCTCCAGTTAGTTGACAGTGAAATTATAATCTTAACAAATTTTTAAATAAAACCACACAAGTTACAAAATTAGTGTAAGCTTTCTAAAATGAACATATGTATGAAATTTAAATCAAGCAGAAGCTGAGCAGTTTGGATGCTATCTATAAAATCACAATAGATAAATGTATTTTACAGAATATTCTATCATCGCAATTGCACAATGTACTAGATTATCTCAACTACGCTATCATTGTGTTCAATATTTTGATTAGATTCTATCAATGATGTTTTTTGACCATTTGTCTTTTAATTGCAGAATGCTTTAACATTTAAGAAGTGGTAGTAAATTTTCTGTGTTGTCTTATTACATTTTTAAGTATCAGTTTTCAGTGTGGATATAGAGAGCACAATGCAGTTCATAGAAGGTCGCCACGATGTGGAGATGTCGTGTTGGACTGGGGTGGATAAAGTCAAAGTCACACGACACCAGATTACAGTCCAACAGATTTATTTAAAATCACAAGCTTTCAGAGCGGTGCTGTTTTGGCAGGTGAAACCAAAAGCTTGTGATTTTAAATAAACCTGTTGGACTATAACAGAGTGTCTTGTGACTTCTGACTCAGTTTATTGAATGCTTCAGTAAACTTTAAATGGGAACCCTTCATGTTGTATAATGATTATCATGCAATCTTGACAAATATTCTTTCTTTTCATGTCTAGCTGTGGGACTTGCTGCTCAAGCTGCAGTTTATTATGACCTACATTGCCCCTTGGCAGATTGCTTGGGGTTCAGCCTTCCATGCTTTTGCACATCCCTTTTCTGTACCTCGTATCCTTTGAATGTGCTTAGCTGAGTTGAAGTGTCTGGATGGGTGCAAGATTATTCCAACAAAAAAACTGAATATCTGAGGAGAAGGGTGTCTGAAGAAGGGTCTCGACCCGAAACGTCAGCTTTCCTGCTCCTCTGATGCTGCTTGGCCTGCTGTGTTCATCCAGCTCTACACCTTGTTATCTCTGAGTTGTTTACATCAGTACTAAGCAAAACAATTCAAATAAAAATTGCTTTCTTTTTACAACTACCGGAGAGAGTTAAAATGTAGTTTGTAGCAGTTTTAAAGTCAGTAGCACTTCAGCAGTAATCAACCTTAAGAAATTGGTCATAAACCAATCAATGACTCAAACCTAGCTGTGAATTGATGGTGAATTAAATGGCACTTGCCATTGTTAATGTTTGGGAAAACCCAGAAACCTGTGACAAGGAGAGGTTACATCATGGATTATGAATCACCATGAGGTGGAAGCCAACTTTTGCAGCTAAACTGCTAGCTTTGCACAACTAAAGCAAGTTCACTCTCAAAACCACCCTGAATTTCATGAAATTGCTAATAATTACCTTGTATTTAATAGTGTAAGTAACATTTTAATGAGCAGATTTATACTTCTGTAATGCCACTTGACCTCCCAGTATGGAATTGAACAGATTAAGACATTACTTTTCTGCTAAATTGTTGTTTAGAAAGGATTCTTGATTTAGGACATTATAAATGTTTTTCTTCCTTTTCTCTTTCTGTGGTTTTTCTCTTGGTCTCAATCCAATTTTTCTTTCCCGCTGTCTATTTCACTTCTGTGTCTGATTTGATTTTAATACACCTCATGGGTGAAGAGTGCATGGAAATGTCTGATGGCATGAGATTCCCATTGCAGTAAATTCTCGGCTAATGGTTCTTCAGAATTTGACACAAAGCACTAAAAATAGTTGTCCAACTATGGTTTATTTACGGTGCTTAATTATGCTATCCTGACAAGACTGATGCTTTAAATGGCACGTGCATGTGCGCACACATGAAACAGAAAGAAGGAAATCAAAAGCATTTTATCTGAAATTCTGCATAAATATTTTCTCTTTAGATTTGTATGCAGAAATGATCCTGTGCTGTAAGAAAGAAACAGGCTTAAATTTCAGGATATCCTATGATGAAAATATAATGGAGCTGAGAAGCTTATCAGTGCTTTGAGCTAGGGATTTAAAAAGAATCTGGAATTCTTCAAAAGGGTGAGTTTTACATCTGAGAAAGAATTGTAGGGTTGTAGGATGCTGAGAGCAACACTGAGTTTAGAACTCTGTGCCTTACTAAATTTTCTTATTTAAAAAATTTACAACTTTTATGCACCGGCTTAAGGGGAAATCATGATTGACAATTCTATTAGAATTCTTTGAAAAAGTAAGGTGCAAGATAGATCAAATGGAACCAGTAGATGTAATATTTTTGGTTTTCCAAAAGGCATTTGCTAAGGTACTCTACATAGGGCTACTTGCTAAGATAAGAACCATAGTTGGGTGTAGACCATTAACATTTATAGAGGATTTATTAACCGATAGAAAGTTGGGATAAAGGAAGTATTCTCAGAATGACAGCCAGTAACTAGTGGAGTGCCATATGGATCTGTGCTGGAACCACAGTTGTTTACAATATATGTTAATGACTTGAATGATGGAAGTGCATGTACTATCACCAAGTTTGCGGTGCACAAAAATAGATGGAAAGGCAAATAGTGAGGATGACACAAGGAGCTTTCAGATGGATATAGACAGGTTAAGAATATTGGCAAAATCTTGGCAGATGGAATATAATTTGGCAAAGCATGAGGTTATACACTTTGGCAGGAAGAGTAGAGGTACCTGAAAATTAACTAAATGGAGAGAGACTGCAGAAAGTTGCAGCACAGAGGAATTTGGGGATTCTCATGCATTAACTACAAAAAGCTTGCATTCAAATTCATTTGGTAATACTGAAGGCAAATAGACTGTTGGCCTTTACTTCAAACAGACTGAAGTGTAAAAATAGGGAAGTCTTGCTAAAACTATGCAAAACTTGTTTTAGAACACTGCTAGAATACTGCAAACAGTTTCAGCCCCCTTGTCTAAGGAAAAATATACTGGTATTGAAGGCAGTCCAGAGAAGATTCACTAGTTTGATTCTAGACATGAAGGGATTTTCTTCTGAGGAGAGTTTGAGTAGGATGGACTTGTACTCATTGGAGTTTAGAAGAATGAGAGGAGACCTTATTGAATCCTATCAAAGATCCTTAGGAATCTCAAGCTTAGGGTAAATGCAAAGAGATTTTTTTTTTCCCCTTTCTTGGAAAGTTTAGGTCCAAACTTCCAACATTACGAGTGCCAATTTAAGATAGGAAGGAATTTCTTCTGACGGTGGTGAATCTGTGGACCTCTTTTTATCACAAAGGACGATCATAGCTGAGTCATTGAGAATATTTGAGGCAGATAGAAAGATTTTTAATTAGTAAGGGAATTGAGGGCTATGGGGAAAAAGCAGGGAAGTGAAGTGGAGGATTATCAGACTAGCATGATCTCATTGAATGATGAAGCAAACTTGACAGGCCAAATGGCCTGATTTTGCCCATGCATCTTATGGTCTTACAAAATTGGCCAGGAATTTCTGGCGGCTGCTCCATCATTTCTCAGATAACTTTGACAGAAGTCTGGTGTAGACAGCAAGGAAACTTTAGTGCAGCAGAAGGTAATTGAGGAATTTCCTCATTCATTATCTGCACCCAAGTTCGTAGGAAATAGGAGCAGGAATAGGCCATTCTGTCCCTTGTGCCATGGCTAATCTCCTATCTCAACATCATTTTCCTACACCATCTCCATCCCCCTTGGTTTATTTAATATCTAGAAATCTACCAGTGTCTGTCTTGAATACACTGAATGACATCATCCATGAGAAAATCCTAAGGAGTAACCACCTCTGAAGAAATTCCTCCTTATCTCAGACCTGAATGACCTTCCTGAGCCTGAGTTGATATGTGTGAAGCATTGATTTTACCACAGACCTCATATGTTCTTAATTCACTTCAATGGATCAATTCCATTCATTGTGGGCTTTGATTTTGTAGCCAACTTTGTAACAAAAAATAATGTAAAAGTTGATCCTTGTCAGTTTGGCTCAGTACATTGCATATTCTCCCCTCTGAGTCAAACGATTGTGGCTGCTACTTTTGATGTAGCACCGAAGGGCAGCTGTACTGCATAGTATTTCTCAATACTGCCATGCCCATTGTTGGAGGAATAGTATCTATGCATCCATCAGTATTAGAGCTGCAATACTGATAAAGCATGACAGTGTTGAAGGAGTAGTATTGAGGGTGCACTTCACTTTCGGAGGCTCGGTACTGAGGGAGTGCATTACTGTCAGTAAAGGCTGTACTGAGAGAGCACTGCACTGCCTGATGTAGAGTACCGAGAATGTGCATTAATGTCTGAGGGGCACTTCTTAGACAGCACCATAATGTCTGTGGGACAGTACTGAAAGAACACTTTTAGAAGTTCCATTTTTATGATGAGAAGTCAGTTTGAGATTCTGCCTGGCTGTTCCAGTAGTAAATAATCCATTACATGATATGAAGACGGTTAGGGAGTTCCTACAACTGCTTCTGCAATCCAACACATTAAAATATGGACTATATGATCATTCATCATGTTACCTTTCATTGGATCTTGCTGTGTAAATGCCCTTCTCAATTGTGTACTTTAACTGTACCAGGATATTGTTGAGAGATATACTAGGCTTTAACATAAATGTAGATTCTTTCTTCCTAAAAAGAAATATTAATTAGCTTCAGTCGTTTATTTTTTGGTTACAGTTGACCTAACTCATGTGAACGTTGGGATGAGATATCTGTTAACATGATGACACAATTCCCAGTCCCGTGATAAATGTGCAATCACACTCCAGATGGCCGACATTATCACAGAGGCAAGTCGATCTTAAACTGCTCTGAGCTTCTTAGCTAAGAGCCATGAGTATTTTCTCCGACCACATTTCTAAGTGCACCAAAGCTCTGTTCATGGATCAATTAGAATTTTCTGCCTTAAAAGAACACTACCCCCAACATAGTTACAGAATGCTATGTTGTATATTTCAGTGCAAAATACTGCCATTATAAATCAAATCATTTGCTGTACATTTCACAGAGTACTGGCAGCTAATACTGCTGGTCGATGAAATATAGTCTACAAAATAAAATAGGTAATGGCAGCAGAGATTTGGATAAGATTTGTACTTCACAGAGGGTGGGAGAAGAGAGGCCTTAGCCAGAAGATCATTAAGTAGTCAGGTCAAGAGGTAAGAAGGACATGGATGAGGGATTTATGGTCAGAGGCAGCTTGGAGGTAAACAATGTTACAGAAATAGAAATGAACAATTTTGGAATTTGTCTAAGACTCTAACGTACATATCAGGATCAAATAGAATGTTGAGGTTGTGAACAGTCTAGTTCAACCTGAGTCAGTCACCAGGGAGAGAGATGCAGTAATAGCAAGGAGATGTAGTTTGTAGAAGGGATCAAAGATAATGGCTATGGTTTGCCAATGCTTAATGGGAGGAAACTGTGACTCTCCAAGTCTGGATGTTGGACAGTGTGACAAATCAAAGACAATAGAGACAAGGAGAGATAGTGGAGAGGTAAATCTAAATGTGGAATTTGACATCTTTGTGGATTATATCACCAAGGACCAGCATGTAAATGGGGAAACGGAGATGTTAAGGATAGAACTTTAGAGGATTCCAGAAGTGATAGACATGAAAGATCAGTTGCTGAAGGAAAGAAGAAACATACGTTTACACAGCATCTTTTAGAATTTTGGAACAGCTCATATCACTTTTGAAATGTTATCATAATTGTAATGTAGGAAACAAAGCAGTTAATTTGCACAAAGCAGTGTTCCACAAACAGCAACATGATAATGATTGGATAATCAGTTTTAGTAATAGGAATATTGGCCAGTTACAGGGGAGAACTCCCATACTGCTTTTCAAAATAGTGCCATAGGATATTGTTCATTCACCTGAGGGGGCCCTTGGTTTAATATCTTATTTAAAAGACAGCACCTCAGTCACTGCAGCATTTCTTCAGTACTATTAATAATAATGTGACCCTGAATTCTCGGCTGCATTATCTGAAGTGGATCTTGAGCCCAAGACCTTCTGATTCTGAGGCAAAATTGACTTGCTGTTGAGGCTATAACTTTGATTAAGGAAGTAAGAGTCTATAATATAAATCCATACAAAAATACTCTACTTGCTGACCGATAAAAGCCCTTAAAACTTTAAATTTCATCTAAGTTTCCACTAGTAGCCAGTGTATATATCAATCAATGTGCCAGGTCACCAGTGTCCAAGTCATTAAATCTGTTTACATGTCTGGTTAAATATCTACATCACTTTCACAGGAACTGTGAAATAAATTCCTTAACTGCATGATTTCAGATTCAGCTATGCTCTTCATTCAAGCTCTTTTATCCTCATTTTTTTCCACTCCTCTTACACCATTCCTTGGCAGTGCCATTTTCATGATGTCCTACGCTAGACCAGTAAAGTTCTGGGAGAGGAATTACAAGTAAGAAGATTTTAATTTGAAGATCATCTGATTGCTTTGATCATTTGCAGAAAGAGTCCTTCCTCTCTCCTCCTTGTCATCATTTGGGCAACTTCACTTCTCACTCAATGCTCTGGTCAGGCTGCAAAGTTGGAATTAAGACCAGTGAGGTAGGCAGTGAAGATTATGAATGAAGTGGACAATTAGTTTAAGGCTATCTGAATTCATTCATGAAATCTTACAGCACTGAAGGAAGCCACTTAGTCCACTGTATCTATGTCAGCTCTTTAAAAAGCTGTCCAATTAGGATTATTCCCTTCCTGTTTCTCTTTTTTTGAAGTATTTAACCAATTTTCTTTTGAAAATTACTATTGAATCTGCTTCCAGCACACACACAAGCAGTACATTCAGATCAACATCACTGTGCAAAGAAATTCTGCCCATCTTCTCTCTGGTTCTTTTAACAGTGACTAACTTCTATATCAGAAATCGCACAACACCAGGTTATAGTCCAACAGATTTGTTTGAAATCACAAGCTTTTGGAGTGACTTCATCTGACAAAGGAGCAGTGCTCCAAAAGCTTGTGATTTCAAATAAATCTGTTGGACTATAACCTGGTGTCCTGTGATTTCTGACTTTGTCCACTCTCGTCCAACACTGGCACCTCCACATCAATTTCCATGTGACTAATTTATAGATGCACCATAGAAAGCATCCCACCTGGATGCGTCACGGCATGGTATAGTAACTGTTCTTCCCAAAACTGAAAGAAACTGCAGACAATTGTGAATACAGCCCAGTCCATCATGCAAACCAGCCTCCCATACATTGACTTCGTCTACACTTCTTGCTGCATCAGGAGAGCAACCAACATAATCAAAGACATGTTATACATTCTTCCACTCTCTTCTGTCAGGCACAGGATATAAAAGTTTGTATACGTGTATGAACTGATTCAAGAACAACTTTTTTCCTGCTGTTATCAGACTTTTGAATGGATGCCTTTAATGTTGATCTCTCTCTACACCTTCCCGGCAGCTATAACATTGTATCCTGCACTCTGCTCAGTTACCATGATGCATGTGTATGGTACGATCTGCCTGAAAAGCACGTAAGACAATACTTTTCACTGTGTCTTGGTATACGTGACAGTAATCAATCAAATCAAATGTTCTCTAGTTATCAACCCAGGGGAAATTATTTCTCTTTATTTGCTCTATCGTACACTCTCACTTTCCTAAAATATGACAATACATGTTGAGAATGTGTTTTATATGGTTGATATTATAATTCTTCACTTATTTTAGAAATTTAATGAAAGCTTTAACCCTTTCACTCTTGTGCACAGAGCAGGATAATCTGTTTAATTTTAATGTATTACATTGTATATCTCCAATGCGTTACAACATGCAAAACATATCAAACCCCAGTTTCAGTTCTCAGTTTATACTGAAATAACTAATCTGAACCTAGGTAATGACAGTGGGACTAATGATCTTATTGACTAAAGCTAGATGTGGGAAATTAACATTGGTTCATGCTCCTAAATGCTATTTTCCAGTCACTATCAAAGATGCACACATGTACACAATTCAGGAAAAAATAAGTTTGGGTTTGACTGTGATAAATAGCATGCCAACCCTTGCTGTTGAACATGAAAATTGAGTTATGGCTGTGAGGTACTGAAGAAATAGAGAAATCATGCCCCATCAAGTAGGCAACAACTCCAGGAGGAAAGGAAGAAGGAGAAAAAAATGTACAGGGAAACTGCCTGTGTGATAGTGACCAAATTTGAAATGTCAGTTAAAATTGTTTGATAATCCCCTTCTGATAATCCCCTCTCTTTGCCTGCATTTTAATGCCAAATGAAGTTTGGAAACAAAGCTAATGGTTAACAATGCATCCATAAAGCATTAAGAATCAGCAAGTACTCTTTAAAACATTTTGCTTGTACATTTCCGAGATCATGTATACAATGGGAACTCCATATGCAAACTGTCATATTGTAATTGTACTCTTTTGCCAATGGAGGCAGTGCATCAGGTTTTAGTTATAGCATTAAATGTTTTGACAGGAAGTTCCAATCGTAAGTATGAAAGCAGAATTTCAAATGGAAATGCGAAAAGGACAGAATATATAGCTTTAAAATGTACCTGAATTATGTTTCTTTGCATTGTCCAATTATTCTTGGTCTATTTCATCTGTACACTTAGTCATCACTCTGTGATCAATAAAGTGTAAAGTCAACTGGTAATTTTCAAAGTTTGTACTATTGTTTATGGTTTTCTTTCTAGCACCAAACGAGTGGATCATTCAAATACAAGACTGGATTCACAAATAAACAGAAGTACTGGTAAGTAGAAAAAGATAGTACAACTGCAGTTAGCTTCCCTTGGCATCATTTTGCAGACTTTGATATGATAGGATTGGCTAGCCCCTAAAAATATAATCACAGCAAGAATGAAATGTTCCTGTGAATTCTGTGCTCCTTGAGGTGAGAGTTGCTGTTTAAGAAAGTGTCAATCTTAACGCATTCTGAGATAAACTTCAGATAAAACTCTTTCTGTTTTCTTTGAATAACGAGTCTCAGCCCTAATTCATAAGTGGCTACTTTCTGCGTCATAGAGTGATAAAGCTCTGAAGGAGGCCGTTCAGCCATTATGCATGTAATGACCCTTTGGCAGAGCTATCCAATTAGCTATACTTACCTGTCTTCCTCTGTAGCCCTGCAGATTTGTTTAAAAGTTTATTTTTAGTCAATTCCCCTTCGAAAATTCTGTTTAATCCACTTGTATCACCCTTTCAAGCAGTCTATTCCAGATCATGATAATCTGCTGAGTTGGATTTTCCAGCCAATTACTTTTAATCTCTGTCTTCTACTTAATGACCCTCCAGTTGGAAAGTTTCTTCCCATCTACTCTACCAAAATCTTTAATATTTCTGAATACTTTTACTAAATCTCCTCTTAACCTTTTCCATGATAAGGGAAGCAAACCCAGCATCTCTAGTTTCTCCACATCACTTGGAAGTCGCTCGTTACTGGAATTATACAAATCCTTTGCACCCTCCCCATCACCTTGACATCCATTGAAAAGTGGGATGCTTAACTTGAACACAAAGCTCCAACTGAGGCCAAATAATGTTTTATAAGGATGTTTCCAATGTGACCTGTTACATTTCGCACCCCAGTTGTTTTGTAGTCTTTGAGTGTGTCTTCCAGAATGGCACATGTAATTACACTCCTCTCCACTGGAGGAGTTGCAGTCTAACTGTTTGCAGATTCTAATTATAGAATGCCAGGTATAGATAGGGATTTCCTTTTTTTAATAGAGGATATTTAATGAAAAAACTGAAAGTTCAGAATGTGTGACATTAAATTTTTATATACAGTAGCCGTGACAGAAGCAGAGCTTCATGAGTAATTGTTAGTGAAAGTGACAGTGTTTATTTCTTCCACTCTTCTGAGGTGGAGTGTTAATTTGCTAAAGGCGACACTTCTGCCCCTTCTAGGGACGAAGTACTGCCTTAGGAATTTGCTGGCCAATCTGATTGACCAACCACTGTGTGGTCCCAGCATTGCCAGTTTCAGACATTGCTGGGACTACAGCCAGTCTCCAAAGAAATGAGCTGGTGGAGGCTGGACTGAAAGTAATTCCAGCCTATTGGCAAGGCCTTGATGGCAGTCCCAAATGCAAAGAAAGAATGAGGAATTGGAGCAGTTGGATTATAGAGGCCGTGACTTTGGGGGTGTCCATCTGATGGATACAAGCGATGCCCTACAAAGGAGGTCCCCACTCTCTTGCTCAACACCAATTTGTTCAGCTAAAGTGACTGGGCTGCCCGCATGGCATGGATCTTCCCCTACTGTGGGTAAAATTGCAGTGATAGTGGGTTGATGCCATGAACTGGCGATTTAGTTGGCCACTTAATTATCTCAGTAGGTCCAATGATGGGTATGGAGCCCAGTACCTCCACTGCTCCCTATGATAGGGGAGACAGGTTAGGGAGGGTGAGTAAGCAGCAGGCAGGCTGTGTACTATGAATCTGTAGTTGGGGGACCATATTCTAATCTTAGACTCTGCGCATAGTTTTATTTCTCCATATGATAAAAAAAGTTACAAGAATGATACCAGAACTGAAAGGTTATACTTACCAGAAATGACTGAACAGGTTACATCTGCTTACTCCCAAAAAAGGAAGGTAGAGGAGCCAGCTGATAGGGTAAGCACAGAGAAAATGTTTCTGCTTCTGCAGGAGACTGAAATTAAACTTACAGTAATGAGGTAGTCACTAATAAATTCAATAGGGAATTCATGAGAAATGCCTTTACCAAGAGAGTGATAGAAATGTGAAATTTGCTTTGACATGTGTTTGAGGTAAATAGTATAGATACATTCAAGGGACACTGGAGAAGTACATGAGGGAGAGAGGAATAAAAGTTATGATGATAGGAAGAAAGGACGTAAGGTGTACAAAGGCTCAAAAACAAAGTTGCTGGAAAAGCTCAGCAGGTCTGGCAGTTCTAAGGAAGGGTCACCAGACCCGAAACGTTAACTCTGTTTTCTCCTTCACAGATGATACCAGACCTGCTGAGCTTTTCCAGCAACTTTGTTTTTTGTTCCTGATTTACAGCATGCGCAGTTCTTTCAGTTTTTATTTAGAGTACAAAGGCTCGTTGGAGCATCAACACCAGCATGGAGTAATTGGGCTAAATGGCTAATTTCTGAGATGCCTGTTCCTAAGAAAATATTTTATGTGGATTTTAAGGTAAAATGTTGGTGAAAATAACAGTCTCATCACTTCCAGAGTTCCTGCTGTCCAGTTATACCGGCCACTGCACTGAGTGGATGAGTTGTCCTTGCACAAACTTTACCCAGTAATAAGCATCAGAGACATTGTTCAACACGGTTACAACATGGTTCAGTGATGTTGTTTATTCTATTTAAAACCCCAGCTTGAAAGTTAATTCTTCCATTTCGTGTTTGAACATCCAGGGGCTGACGATAACAACTTAAACTCCATCTTCTACGAGCACATGATGAGATCATTGCAGCAGAGCTTGTGTGGTGACTTGATCCTGGGTCGCTGGGGAAGCTACAGCACGGGTGACTGCTTCATCTTGGCCTCGGATTACCTCAATGCCCTAGTTCATTTGGTAGAGATTGGCAACGGCCTTGTAACTTTTCAGCTCAGAGGACTTGAATTCAGAGGTGAGCTCCATCAGTCTTTGTAAAATCAGAGTTGGGTATAAAGGTAATTTTAAGACGTGTTGACAAGTGCAGCAGACTTGGGAGGAATAGACAACTTAATAGAAATCAAGAGATAACAAGGTGTAGAGCTGGATGAACACAGCAGGCCAAGCAGCATCAGAGGAGCAGGAAAGCTGACGTTTCGGGTCGAGACCCATAATAGAAATCAGTTGCTTTGATATGAGTTTTACGACTGGTGAGGAGGGATTAATTGGCTCCCTACTTTTCAAACTTCTTGGCTGACACAACAAAGATTAAATGTTCTTTTTGGTATGAGGCTATGCATCACTCTAATTAAAATTTATTTAACTAGTTCACCAGAAACAAGTAAGGAGATAATTTCAAAGTTTGCTTGAGTGAGAGGAGGAGCAATTTTATTACTTGCTAACCCTGATAAAAATAATGAAGACATAACATTAAACAAACAAATACAAGTACAATCTTAAAAATGGGCAGTATTCAATATAAACAGAAAAGGAATGTGTTTTATAGTCTTTTGGGTCTTCCTGAGGTGCCAGGTTTTAACCTGTTGGTTAGGCATGTTCTGTATCTACAACAGCCATGAATGTTGCAGATATTATCCCTAATCTGGTCTTGTAATTCACCTTGCTGTGCACAAATTGTTTGTAGTATTTCTTACATTCCAGTAGAATTCACTAGAATTCAAACTTAGTTGTTAAGCACTTTGGTATGTCCTGAAGGTACGATAGGCTCAATCTAAATGCACTTCTTTAATGTCTTTAAATAAACATTCAGTTATTTTTGTGGATGACTATATTTTGAATTATGGTAACATTCTGTAGACATCTGTACTAGCAGCCATAACAAATCCCATGCTACTACCTTCAAACTGTCATTGAGGCTGCGTTGCCTTTGGTTTAATTATTGCATTGCGTTTTAATGATAAATTACATGATTTCAATGCTGCTGAATTGAGAGGTAAGTCATGGATGTTTTCATGCCATATTTTATTCTGAGTTTCCATATTTAATTATTTTTCATTACATTTTTTCTGATACTGAGGCAGCACAGATTAATAGAGAACAAGCTTAAATGTTCTAATTTGGTACCTACATTAAATAGTCCTCACTGTTGGATATTAGCGTTTGAACATTTGTTATCTTATTCATTTATGGTTTTGCAAGAGTATTAGGAATAAAAATTAATGTAAAGATACAAGAAGTAATGGAATAGTTCTAAAACAGATTTGTGTGGTATTGTGAATACTTTAGCATTTAAGTGTATCTGTGATTAACAATTTCAGATAAGTTACTTCAGACAAGACTGAAAACGTTAGCTTGCTCTCTCTCCATGGATGCTGTCTGACCCACTGTGATCTCCAGCATTTGTTGTTTTCAGCATTTACCACCTCTTTCTGCATGTAGTACTGGGTGAGGTTGTTTGAGGTTGTTTGCTGCAACCATTCCCCCTTTTTCTTTACTTTGCCTTGGACCTATTTAGTGATAGAGGATATACTATCATAGATTATCTACAGAAGAGTCACTGGTCTTAGACAACGAGAAGATTTATTGCATAACAGCAGTGAGTGCCACTACATTTGGTCAGGCATAATTACTAGGATGTTATAGAACTGGTACAGATACGTCTGCTCCCTTTGAGGAGGTTGCAGTAGTACTCCTTGTCTCCACCCACAGTATGTGTGACAACAGTGGAATGGGTGGAGCTAACATAACATGAATATTAACCACGCCAGAACCAAAATACAAAAAATACAATACTAGATGCACATTGGAAAGACTGGGAGTCAATCTAAATGCATCGCTGATGTGTATAGCTGGTGATATGCATTATACTGCCTGGGAGAGAATGCTCCCCAGTCATCACTGGGGAGATGATGGTTGACCTGCTGCAGCAAGCATTGGTAGTGAATCATGCCCTCAAGACTGTATTTAGGATGACACAAATACAGGCACCGATACAAATGATTTGAATTTGTGGTGACTGATTAATGTAGTTATTTCAGTGAATGCAGTTGGCATTGACATAAATCTGTACACACTGATGAGAATATGAATATGAATTCAGGCACAATAGTATTCAAATTGCTCACAGTGACAATGTCAAGAGCAGTAGATGCTTCAGAATTGAGCGAACAGCAATAGGCTATCAAAACTACTTTACTGGTCAAGAAGCTTTTAAACGCTGTAGAAACAATCTGGATTCAATCAAACAAAATAGTTTTTGTCATAGAAACCATTACATAAAAAGAAAAAAAATCCCATTTATACGAGTTACAAGAAATACTTGCAGTAACCTAGGGCAATGAAATAGAGAGGACTGATAATTATTTAATGATGACTGTTTGGGAGAGGACCTGGGAAACACTGACAGAGATGATAAGTGCCTTATTCCTGTGTGTGTAATTTCTACTAAATGGAGTTGTCATCGTTTGAGAAACATCATATGTGACACTTTGAGAGACCATTATAAAACATCAAACATGTGGCATGAGAATTTTGTGTACTTCGCTTAATGCTCATTCATCCCATTTACAGTTTGTGGGATCTTGCTGATATTGAATTATGTATTTGCCAATGTTCCAAGTAATTCACAAGTAATTAATAAATGTAAGCACTTCTGGATTTTTTTGAGAAGATGATAAGATGTTACATCAATGAAATTGTAATTTTAAATGTTAGATTGCAATAAATTTTAGAAATTTGCTCCACTCTTAACTAGAATCTCGAATTACACTGTGACAAGTAACATAATATAGAAAGTAGAAACAGGAGTAGGCCATTTAGCCCTTTAAGCCTGCTGTGCCATCCAGTATGATCATGGCTGAACATCCTACTCAGAATTTTGTCCCCTTATTCTTTGATCACTTTAGCCGTGAGAACCATATCTGTCTCCTTCCTAAACTAAAATCAATGTTCAATGCTCAACTGCTTTCTATGGCAGAGAATTCCACAGACTCATCATGCTCTGGCTGAAGAAATTTCTCCTCATCTTGGTCCTAAATGGTCCATCCTTGAGACTGTGACCTCTGATTATAGACTCCCCAGTTATCAGGAACATCCTTCTGCGTTTATCCAGTCTAGTCCTGTTAGAATTTTATAGGTTTCTTTGAGATCCCTCCTCCTTTTTCTATGATCCAACAACCAAAGTCTTACTTGATCCACTATTTTTTCATATATCAGTCCCACCATCCCAGGAATCAATCTGCTAAGTCTTTGTTATACTCCCTTCATTGCCAGAACATCTTTCCTGAGATAAAGAGGCCAAAACTGCACATCCTAATCCAGGTGTGGTCTCACCAAGGCTCTGTACGATTGCAGCACTGATCCCTGAAGGACCCCACTAGGCACTGACAGCCACTCAGAAAATGACCAGTTTATTCCTAGGCTTTGTTTCCTGTCCACCAGCCAGTTCTTTATCCAGTATGCTACCCCCAATTCCAGACACTTTAATTTTACATGCTAATCTCTTAAGTGGGACCTCTGAAAGTCCAAGTAAACCACATCCACTGGTTCCCCCTTGTCAATTCTACTAGTTATATACTTGAAGAATTTCAGTAGATTTATCAAGCATGACTTCCTTTCTCTAAATCCATGTTGATGCTATCTAATCCTGTCACTGTTTTCCAAGTGCTCTGGTCTTAAATTTGTTATTATTAACATAATTATTAATAAATACATAAACTGAAAATACGTGGTGCATATAATATGACATCTTGTAAGATTTACTTACAAGAAATTTACAATATGGGTGTCACAGTGGCTTAGTGGTTAGCACTGCTGTCTCACAGCGCCAGGGACTTGGGTGACTGTGCAAACTCCACACAGACAGTTGGCTTGTGTGTGTGTGGGTTTCCTCTGGGTGCACTGGTTTCCTCCAACAGTCAAAAGATATGACGGTTATGTGGATTGGCCATGCTAAATGGTCCATAGTGTCTAGGGATATGTAGGTAGATTGGCCATGATAAAAATGTGGGGTTATGGAGTTGGGATGGGGGAACTGGGTTTGGCTGGGATGCTGTTCGGAGGGTCAGTGCAGACTCGGTGGGCCAAATGGCCTCTTTTCATAGTGTAGTGATTCTATGATTCTCTATATATGTACATTACTGCCAATGACCGCTAACCAAACCCTCAGATTACTCAGGGATATATTAAATTTTAGTTGCAACATAAAAAAGAGACATTCAGTCAAAAGTTGACCGCAGATGTAAATTCAGTGGCTGCCTGGAGAGGGAGAACCTAGAATGTCATACCTGACAAGGTTTCAAAGAAGTTTCAGAGAGAAAAGATGCACTATAAAGTAAATCTGAGATCTCCATGTAATATCTTAGACTTCGAACATGATGGTTTTAAAAAAAAAAAACAGCTTTCTGGGCAAGAGACATAATTTCATTTTCCCCCTTTCAAGAATATACAGCAACAGGAAATAAAATTGAGCTTCTACCCTTATCTGTGTGCATTAGTGATCTGACATCCTGGTGTATGGACTAGTGTGTTGTGAGGGTCGTAGCTCTAAGAACACCCATTTTAATATCTGCGCACCACAGGTAAAGAAAAGGGAAAAGACTGTCTCACTGTATGTGACAGTGATCTTTTTATTCAATCTACAAAGCCAAGAGTTTCAAAATTGATTGTTCAATTACCCATGTCAATGCTGCCAGTAACATTCATGCAACGGTCGCAATGTTTAACCATCTGCTGTTCACTAGCAATTCAAAAACTTGTGTGTACTTTTTAAACTTCAACATTTTTGGAAAAAAAACAGAAATTGCTGGAGAAACTCAGCAGGCCTGGCTGCATCTTGGGAAGAAAATAGAGTTAACATTTCAAGTCTTCTTCAAAATTGTTTTTAGTAGCTTAGAAAAAGTGGCATTTGTGCTAAAGCCAAGGTTTTGGGGCAGGGCATTGGATGGAGAGAGATGAGCAGGTGGGTGGAGACGGAGCCCAGAGAGAGAAAGAGAGAAATATGAACGGGATAGGTAAACAAAGAGATTACTGATATTAGGCCAGGACAGAAGAAAAGCTGAATAAGTGATAATAAGAGCTAAGAGGGAGAAAATGGATTAACTGTGCTGAATGCAACCCATATAATGTGATAATAGGCCTGGGAGTACATAGGAATCGTTAACTGTGCTAAAAGCAACATATTCTATAACAAGACTGGGTTTGGGGGTGGGGAAAAAACATAAAAGGCTCTAAAGTTATTGAACTTGGTATCGTAGAGGCTGCAGGATCCCCAATCGGAAAATGAGATGTTGTTCTTCAACAACTGGGTGGGTGAATAACCAAGGGGAACCACCTCTCCTCACCTGGCAGCTTAAGCTTTGAGATATCCTGTTCGGAGCTATAACAAATTGGGGAAACTGGCCTGGGAATTGGTTCGTAACAATTACAACAATGACTAAAAGTGCTTAATTGATTGTAAAGTGTTTAGAATATCTTGTGGTCATTAAAATGCAAAACAAATTCAAGTCATTCTTTTAAATTTCATAGTGCAAATCATGGAGTGCAAATGAATGGTATATATTTTATGCTTTTTTTTGTGCATGTGTGTGCGTAGCTTCCGTAGCATGCAGAATAAACACAAGTGGTGGTCACCATTAACAGGATGTATCCAGCCAAGAAGGTATGCTGCCTATCACAAATATATTTTGTGGCAAACGAATTTCAGTGCCAATGTGATGCTTGGACATAGGCCCTACTTCATAAAAACTGGCTGATCCTGTCAAACAGAATATTCCTTTGGCTGTTCGCAACAAGCTGACTAACCAAACGGCCCATGCCTTGCAAAACTGAAAACACAGTAGATGTGACTCTGTGATTGGACAGCCTTTTCTAAATAGTTCTAAGTATGCTAATAATCATGCTGACCACAAAATTTAAGGTTATCAATTTATTTTGCAGTATGGTGCATTTGTATTAAGAGACGCAGTTTTGTACTTTGCAGACAGAAAGAACACAAACACATTACGCCTATTTCAGCTCAGCACGACAGGTGACAGCCATTCTCTGGTTCATTTGTTGGTCAATGTGCCTGATTTAAATTTAAATTAAGCTTGACAGTTAACTGTTAGTCATCAGCTAACTGGTGTACTCTCCATGGCAACACCGTTATTAGTCAGAATTCATTTTCCAACATCTGTTCTCATGCAAAATAAAATGATTGTTTTCGTTCAACATTGGTATTTCTTGTGAATTGTCCTTACGAGTGTAAGACAAAAAGGTTTGTTTTTTTTTCAGGTACATATTGCCATCAGAGGGAAGTTGAAGCAATAACAGAGGGTGTTGAGGATGATGAGGGCTGCTGCTGTTGCTGTGAACCAGGACATTTGCCTCACATGTTGTCATTCAATGCAGCTTTCATCCAGCGCTGGCTGGCCTGGGAAGTTACATCATCTCAATATGTACTGGAAGGCTACAGCATCAGTGACAACAATGCAGCATGTATGTTGCAGATGTTTGACCTCAGAAAGATGCTTATCACCTATTATGTAAAGGTAGTAGTATGCCAGTAAGTTTCTAATATGCTATTTTGTTTCATAAATAGGTCTATTTGTCTCCACCTCCTACGTTTTTTTTAAAGCTGTGTTCCACCTACAGGCTGTCAGCACTGCCAGCTATAATAAAGCAACAAGAAACAGACTCCAATCCAGCCATTTTTGGACAATAACTGGGAGACAGAGAAAGTGAGATGAAGTCAGATTTGGGTTTATACATATTTAGTGGTATCCCATCTAAAGCTCACTAGAAATTCCTGTGGTGACTGTGTCTATACTGACAGTGGTGTTGCCAAGCCTTCAGGAATTAAGAATTAACCTTCAGGAAACAGCTGCAAGCAAAGCCGAAGAATAAATTCATAGGATCTTTACAATGGAGTGGTTATGTGTAACGCCAGAATGGCCAATGCACATGTGTGCAGATTTGGCCCATAATGTCAACAGGTTATGACACAACAGGCCTGAAGAATCGTTTGTGCCAGTGCCAATTACATCCTGTGTGCACTCGCATCATTGGTGCTACTCAAGGAGTCCAGGGAAGTGAAGAGTGGTTCCCTGGCGCGAGCAGTAACAAAGGCCAGGAGTTGGATTTGGGGGGAAGGCCTGTACTGGAAGCCAGCCTCTTTTTTCACACTGGGGGTGACAGGAAGGATGCACTAAGATTGGGAGGCCACAGACTGTGTAGAAGAGGGTGACAGGGCTGCTTGTTGTCCTTTGAGAATGTCCTCAGCCTTCCTTCTGTTCCATGTAGAGGTGGAGCTATTAGGATACTTCACCATGTTAAAAAATGAGCTTTTTAAAAAATTCAAATCAAACACTTTTGTTTGATAGTTATTAAATATTGGAGATGGAGAAGAAGTCTCTTTGACTAGCGACTTAAGAATCATCCAATTGGGAAACAAATAGACCATTAATTTTCTGACTGATCATGAGAAAGCGGGGCTTTATGAGGATGTATGTGTCCAGTAATCATTGGTGGGATTGTTTGGGGATGGCAGGAGCACCTAGAGGATGAGTGTTTGGAGAGGCAGTTTAATAATGGTAATGTGGCTAGATTAATAATCCAGAGGCCCAGGTTTATGCTCTGGGGACATGGATTTGAATCTCACCATGGCAGCTGTTGACAGTTGAATTCAATTTATCCCCCTAACAGTGACTACGTAATAGGATAGAGTATGAAGAAAGAAATAATGCAAGCTTGTCAGAAGCAGGGTGATAATCATGGGAGATTTTAATCTACATACAGATGGGCAAAGGTAGCCTAAATGATAAAACTCCAAAACAAAAACAGAAACTGCTGGAAAGTCTCAGCAGATCTGGCAGAATTTGTGGAGACAAATCAGTTAATGTTTCTGGTCCAGTGACCCTTCTTCAGAAACTTTGTGTGTAGCCTAAAAGATGGACTATTTTCGCAAGAGCTTCTTGCAACAGCACCTTATGGAGCCAACTAAACAGCAGACTATTTAGGCCTGATATTATGCAATGAGATAGGATTAATTAATGAAGGCGCCCCTAGGTAGCAGCGATCATAATTTGATTGAATTTTACAATTAGTTTGAGGGTGGGAAGCGTGTACAAGACAAGAGTTTTAAACTTCCATAAGGGTAATTATGAGGGCATGAAACAGAGCAAGCTAAAGTGAACTGGCAAAATAGGTTAAGGGATCCGTAAATGGTGATACAGTGGCAGAAATGTAAGGGGATATTTCAGTGTGCACGGCATAGTTACATTCCAATGAGAGAAAAATTCCAAAGGGAGGACCAACATCAGTGGTTAACTAAAAAGAGTTAAAGATGGTATCAAACTGAAAGGAAAAATATATAATTGCACAAAGTTCAGAAGATTGGACAGAAAGAAAAGCGAAGAATGACTACCAGATTAACAAGGAAGGGAAAAATAAATTATGACAGAAATCTAAGCTACAAATATAGATAATGGTAAGAATCTCTATATAATTTTTTTTTAAAGTTAACAATAGGGTTTTGGTCCTATAGAAAGTGAGTCTGAGGAATGATGAGAAGGCAGGTAAATTGAAAAGGCATTTACAAAACATTATCCCAGATTCAGCTGTAAATCCAGAAATGGAAGTGAGGGAGAAACTCAAAATTACAATGCACAGAGAAAAGGTACTAAGTACATTGTCAGTTATAGTCTGTCAAGTCCCTGGGCCTTGATGGATTTTAACCTAGGATGTTAGGTTAGTGAAGCAGTGATGTGTTGATTTTAATTTTCCAGACTCCTCTAGATTCAGGGAAGGTTCCTCTAGATTGGATTCCTTTAAATAGTGAAAATAACTTCTTATTCAAAAGGCTGCATTTGGTGCCACTACAACTGCAGAAGGTGCACTTAAAGCCCTTGCAGTGCAATGCCTCGGGAGTGGGAGATGAGATGCGATTCCTCCAGCTTTTGCTGAGGCTCACTGGAACACTGCAGCAGGCCCAAGATAGAAACATTGCACAGAGATCATAATGGTGCATTGAAGTAAACAACTGGAAGCTGGGAATCATTTTTACAAAGAGAATGTAGGTGTTCTGCAAAGCAGTCGCCCAGTCTGCATTTTGTCTCCTCATTGTAGAGGAGATCGCATTGTGAGCAGCTAATACAGTAGACTAGATTTAATGAAGTGCAGGTAAATCGCTGCTTTACCTAAAAAGTGTGTCTGGCGCTTGGATAGCGAGGAGGGAGGAAGTAAATGGGCAAGTGTTGAACCTTTTGCAATTCCACAGGGAGGCGCTATGAGGAAGTGTTGGGAATGAAGGAGGAGTGGACCTGGAGGGAACAGTCCATGCAAATTGCTGATAAGGGAAGAGAGGGGAATATGTGCCTGGTCATGGTATCCTGCTGGAAATAGTGGAAAAGGCAGTTTATGGTCCTTTGGATGTGGAGGCTGGTAGGTGGAAAGGATCCTATTATTGCGTGGTAAAGAGGAGGAGGACTGAAAGCAGATGTGCAGGAAATGGGTCAGACATGGCTAAAGCTCTTGTCAACCATGGTAGTAGGGAAACCTTGGTGGAGGAAAAAAGATGGACATTTCTGATGTCACTCTGCAGAAGGCAGCATCATCAGACAGTTGTGATAGAGACAGAGAAACTGGGAGAATGGAATGGAGTCCCTATAGAAAGTACAGTCTACACAACTGTGGGAGTCAGTGAGTTTATAGTGGATATCGGAGGCTGGCTTATCCCTAGAAATGAAAACAGAGATGTCAAGGAAGGGAAGAGAGGAGACAGAGATGGACCAGTTGAAGGTGCAAGCAGGGTGGAAATTGGAAGTGAAGTTGATAACTTTTTTCAATTCCAAATGAGGAGAGAAACAGCACCAATGATGGCTTCAATGTGCCGTACTAGAGAAATAGTTGTGGGGTTGGACCCAAATGGGATTGGAACAAGCAGAGTTCCATGTAACCTACAAACAGGTATGTTATTCTACCTGAGATAGCAGGAACTGTAGATGCTGGAGAATCTGAGATAACAAGGTGTAGAGCTGGATGAACACAGAAGGCCAAGCAGCATCAGAGGAGCAGGAAGGCTGACATTTTGGAACTAGACCCTTCTTCAGAAATTCTTCAGAAGTTCCTTGTATAGCTATAGCAAAACCTCCCTACATTTATAAGCTATTCCTTTTGAAATAAATGATAACAGTCCATTTTCTCTTCTCTATTACCTGCAGAACTTGTATGCTAGTGTTTTTTTTATTCATGCACAAGGATTCCTAAATCCCTCTGTGCTGTAGCTTTCTGCAGGCTTTCTCCATTTAAATAATATTTAGCTCTTCTCCTCTTCCTGCTAAAATGTATAACATCACATTTTCTCATATGATATTCCATCTGCCAATTTTTTGCCCACTACCTATATCCCTCTGCAGACTGCGTCATCCTCATCACTCGTCTTTCCACTTATTTTTGTGTCATCTGCAAACTTGGCTATAGTAAGTTCACTTTCCTCATTCAAGCCATTTATAAATATTAAAAATAATTTTTACCGTAGCACTGATCCCGGTGGCACTCCACTAATTGGAAGCTGCCATTCTGATAAGGTCCCCTCATTCCAACTCGGTCTTTTATTAGTTCACCAATCCTTTACCCATGTTGATATGCTACTTCCAACACTATGGAATCTTATTAAGGAGCCTAATGTGCTGTACCTTATCAAATGCCTCCTGAAGATCCAAATATATGACATCCACTGCTTCTGCTTAAGTATCATGTTTGTCACCTCCTCAAAGAATTCTAGTAAATTTGTCAGGCGTGATATCCCCATCATGAGCCATGCTGGCTCCACTTTATCATAAATTGCATTCTAAATGCCGTGCTATTACATCCTTTGTAATAGACTTTAATATTTTTCCAATTACAGATGTTAAGCTAACTACCTTGTCTTTACCTTTTTCTTGACTCCTTCCCTTTTGAAATAAAGGTGCTACATTGGCAGTTTTCCAATCTTGTAGAACATTTCCATATTGTAAGCATTCTTGGAGAGTTAATAGCAATGCATCCAATCTCTCTATAACGACTTCCTTTAATGTCCTAAGATGAGTCCAGTCAGGTCTAGGGGATTCATTGGTCTTTCAGCCCATTAGTTATCCTAGCACTTTTTCTCTAGTGGTAGTCATTATATTTGTTTCTTCTCCTTTTGCCCTTGATTATTTAGTAATTTTGGAACACGAATAGTATCTTCAACTTTGAAAATTGATCCAAAATATTCATTCAACTCTTCTGGTTCCTATTATTATTTCTCCAACCTCATTCTCTCCGGGATCTATATTCACTTTGGTGTATGTCTTCCTTTTTTTTAAAAAGAAGCTGACTGCCTTATATTACTTCAGAGATAGTAGGAACTGCAGATGCTGGAGAATCTGAGATAACAAGGTGTAGAGCTGGATGAACACAGCAGGCCAAGCAGCATCAGAGGAGCAGGAAGGCTGACGTTTTGGGCCTAGACCCTATGCCAACCAGTTATCCTAAATTAATCTAGTTCACATATGCCAGCATTTGACCCATACCCTTCCAAGCCCTTGCTATTCATGTACCCATCCGGATGCCTTTTAAATGTTGTAATTGTACCAGCCTCCACCACTTCCTCTGGCAGCTCATTCCATACACACACAAACCTCTGCGTGAAAAAGTTGTCCCTTAGGTCACTTTTCAATCATTCCCCTCTCACCTTAAACCCATGCCATCTAGTTTTGGACTCCCCTGCCCCAGGGAAAAGACCTTGGCCATTCACCCTATTCCTGCCCCTCATGATTTTATAAAATTCTATAAGGTCACCTTCAGCCTCCGATGCTCCAGGGAAAATAGCCCCAGCCTATTCAGCCTCTCCCTATAGCTCAAATCCTCCAACCCTGGCAACATTCTTGTAAATCTTTTCTGAACCTTTTCAAGTTTCACAACATCCTTCCTATAGCAAAAAATGGTCACTGTTTCCGAGGGGATCTTTTACTCTGATATTATTTATCAAACCTGCCTCATTACGCATCACCAGATCCAAAACAGCCTGATCCCTAAAGAGTAAACACTCTTCAGGGAAATGCAGAAACTCACTGAACTTCCTGAAATTATCAGGTCCCTTCAATATAGTTTAAGCGGTGCTTTTGTACTTGATACCAAATAGGGATGTGTTCAATGCAAGAAAGACTTGCAAATATACAAAGCCTTTCACAATCTTAGACCCTCCAAAAGTGCCTTATAACTAATGGAATACTTTTATTTTGAAGTGTAATCACTGTTGCTCACAACAAAATCCCATAAACAGCAATATGATACCAACTAGAGGGCAGATAAAACCTCTTTTGGTATTTCTTCTGAAAAATGACACCTCCAACAGTACAGAACTCCCACAGTACTGTACCCCAATTTCACTTTAGATTTTATGCTCGAGTCTCTGGAGTGGAGCTTAAACCCATGACCATTTGACCCAGAGGTGAAACATAACCATTCACTTAGCCATGCCTGGCATCATTAATGTGAAACCCAAGAGCAGGAGTGATTAACATAGGTCACATGAGATCTTGTTAGTGAGTAACTGTGACTGAAATGTGTGACTATGTTATCCTCCATGTAGCTTCAACCAATCAGAATGAAACATGGTTGCAGAAAACAAATGTATGGGCATAATAAGCAAGTGACTAGTGACAGTAAACCCAGGACACAGGTGGTTGATTAATTAAGACAGAAGTATCAGATAAAGTGGAGGAGCCTCTCAAATTTCAAAAATGATTTGGAAGCAGTTGAATTTTGTGTCATGGAATAATGAAAATGACACGTACGGGTAGACAACTTTACATTGAGTTATTTGTGCCCTGAACTGTAATTAAATCTGACAGAATGAGAACCTTTTACACTTTTTGAGTCTAAGCCCCATACTCTGAATAAACTTCCTACACCGTTTCCCCTTAAAAACCCACATCCTCCTTTCCTAACATCTCCTCCTTTGATTTGTACTCCCTTTCCCTTGTGTCCCTGTAAAGCACCTTTGGGTGACTCTATTTTAAAATTTCTCTACAAATGCATATAGTCATTACCAAAGCAATTTCCTTCCTTAAAACAAATGTTTTAAGAAGTGTATTTCATGTTTCAGCATTAAACAATGGATAAATGTGGCATTCAAGTCATTTTTTTTTCAATGTATTCTGTGAATTATTATCAATGAAATTGTACTGGAATCAGTTAGTATTAATATGCACATCTGTTACAACAGTGAGATGAGATTGTGTATTAACAAATTTCTCTTGGCAGAGCATAATATATTACTTGATTTGTTCTCCAAAACTGGAAGACTGGTTACGCAATGAATCCATACAGGAAGCTCTGCATCTGTGCACAGCGTGGAATTATGTTGATAGGGACCCAGGAGTTTTTAATGTGAACATTGATGAAGACTATGATCATTGTCTCAAGGGAATCTCAAGAGCCAGCTTCTGTAATGCTTATTTAGAATGGATTCAACACTGCACCGGTAAAAGGACAAAGGTACACAATTAAATTGTATTTCTCAATTCACCCTTCTATAATTTCATTCCTAGTCATTCTGTTCATTTCCCATTATTTCACTATAGAATTCCATGGAATGTACAAAATAGAAACAGCCATTTGGCTCAAATAGTATATGGCAGTGCTGCAGCTTCTTCTCACCTTTCTTAATCTCACTCCTTTGTTTATTTCTCCCTCAGCACTAATATGTTCCACACGTTCATCACTTTCTGAGCAAAAAAGCTTCTCCTGAATTCCAGATTGAATTATTTGTGAATATCTTATATTTATGACCTCTAGTTTTGGATGCCCACACAAATGGAAACATCTTCTCTAAGTCTGCACTGTCATAATTTTGAAGACCTCTACTAGGTCACCCTTCAGTTTTTTCTTTTCTAGACACAAGAGCCCAGCTTTTCAGACCATCTTTATAGTTATTAATAAAATGTCTTTATTAGAGGTCCTAGGAGAGTTACATTTACTACCTGATTTTAAAAGTCCTCTTCTCTTCCCCCAATGATACACTCAATGAATGGCAGGACACTGGGAGCTCAGAGGAACAAATGGATGTCGGGGTGCTCGTCCACAGGTCCCTGATGGTGGCAAGACTAGTTAAGAAGGCATATGGGAACTTCCCTTTATCAGTCATGGCATTGATTACAAGAACAGGGGATTTTCATTGAAGTTGTACGAAATTTTGTTTTGACCACAGTGGGAGTGCTGCTTGCAGTTCTGTTCACCGCACTACAAGAAGGATGTGATTGCACTGGAAAGGGTACAGAGGTGATTACCAGGATATTGCCTGGGATGGAGCTTTTTAGCTATGAGGAGAGGCTGGATAGGCTTGGGTTATTTCCTTCAGAGCAGAGAAGGCAGAGGGGATACCTGAGTGGGGTGTTTAAGATTATGAGGGGCATGGACAGGGTGGATAGGAAGCAACTGTGTTCCCCTTAGTTGAAGGGTCAGTAATGAAGGGGAATAATTTTAAGGTGAAGGGCAGAAGGTGTAGAGTGAATTTGAGGAAAACGTTTTCACCCAGAGGGTCATGGGAATCTGGAATGCATGACCTGGGAGGGTATTAAAGGCAGGAAACATAATCTTTAAAAAGTATGTGGATGAGAAATGTCATAACATTCATGGCTATGGGCCAAGTGCTAAAAAATGACGTTAGTGTAGATCAGTCAGCACAGACTCAAAGGGCCAAAGGGCCTCTTTGCTGAATGTCTTTCTAATGATAACAGTGCTACAAGGATTAAATTATCAAGATAGACAGTGTGATTAGAATCATATTCTCCAGAGTATAAAAGATTAAAAGATGACCTAATTGAGATATTGAAGATAATTCAGGGATTTGATACGGAAATTGCAGGGGAACTATATTCCCTACTGGGGAAATCTTAAAGTTAGATCTCGGCCATTTGGAGTGATGCCATAAAGACCTTCTTCACATTCAGGGTAGTAAGAACTTTTGAGCTCCACTTCCCACAAAAACAAGTTGATTATTCTAGAGGTCACCTGAAAATTTCAAAAATAAGGCTGATAGATTTTTTTTGGGCATGAAGGGGTTAGGGAACCAAGGCAGAGAAATGGACTGAAGATACAGATCAGAATGGCAGACAGGCTGGTAATACTCAGCAGGTCAGAAAGCATCTGTAGAGAGAAGTAGAGGTAATGTTAATCCTTCATTTGAAGTCTTCATTATGACTTGAAATGATAACTCTGTTTCCTTTCTGTGATGCTGTCTGATCTGCTGAGTCTTTGCGGCATTTTCTGTTTTTATTTAGATTTTCCAGCATTTGCATTATGCTGCCTTTGTAAAAGCTATCAATTTAGTTTTACTTCCCTGCTGTTTTCCTACAGCCCTGCAAATTGCTTCTTTTCAAGTATATATCCAATTTCATTTTAAATTTTTTTCTTGAATCTGTTTTCTTCAACCCAGTGCATTCTAGACTACCAACTCACTGCATGGAAAAGATTCTCCCCATCCAAACCTTGGTTCTTTTGTCAATTATTGTAAATCTTATGTCGACTTAGAATTTAGTTATATACTTAAAAAGGAAAATTTTCAGAGTTATGCTTTTGGAAGGAGTAATGGCCCTCATCAGTGCTGCACAGTTTGTGTCTAAGTTGTGGTGCCAAATGTACAGGTTATGAATTGCATGTAATGCTGCCCCATTCTGTGTTGCGTTACAGCCTGTGAGAAGTGATGGGGATTCTCCACTCGTAACCCTTTGTTTCAGCCTTTCTATTTTTGGCAGAAGAGCTTTGGGAACCGCAACGCATAACATGTCCATCAGGTAATCTACCATGGTTTTAGCCAATTCAATGGTAAAACAGTATATAATCACAAAATCACAGAAATATTAAAGGCAAATGTAGGCCATTCACACCATTGTGTCTATACCAGCTGTCCAAATGAGAACTTTATTTATGTTACAAATAAGAACCGTGTTACAGGCAATGAGGCTCTGTGGTACCAGATAGGAATTTTAAGCTGAATGTAGTTTTTACAATGGAACAGTTCCATTTCATGCCCAATCCCCATCAGACTTATTCGTAAATGCAGGTCAGTATACAATGATATGCATGATACCATGTCCCCACCTAATGACATTTTAACCATATCCCCTCAAATTCACTCCCTCTTAGACTCAGCTTGCTTCTCGTGCTACAGGGGTGTCTGAAGTTTAGTGTTTTTTTTATTTTAATGGGGTTTTACAGCTTTGCATTAGAGCAAGTGGTTAACAGTTTAACACATTAGAAACAAAGTGTAGAAAAGAAAAAAAGATGATTTTGCTTAGCCTCCCTGACACAGGCAGGTACAAAGACTGAACCATCTAGAAGATCAGGCAATGTGTGCAGGTTCAGTCAAAACTAAAAGATAATAATATAGCAGTTTCCCAAAAGTCAGAGCTAGGATAAATGTTGTGAGTGGCTTATAAGGAAATCCAAAAAAGAAAACTGCTGGAAATTGAGGATATGGAGAGCCCAAACCTGTTTGTTTACTCTGAAAGCATTTACAAGTAAGTGAGAAGAAAGCTCCAGAAACCAATTATAGCCATGCCAAGTGAAGAAGAAACTTCGAAAGTGGGTTCAAGGTGCCCCTTCACTAGGGTTGGAGTATCTGTAAGATTGCTGTTGAGGGTACCAAGAGTTGAATCTTTGTTTCTACTATTTGTAATAAAACTGTTAAAAATATATTTTGGATAGTGTAAATTAGTTCATGGTTTTCTCCCTTTTATGTGTAATAATCTTTGTTCTCATGTTTCAAGTAAATTGTCAGCCTCATGTGAAAATGTGCAGTGACTGGCCACCAGGGTAAACAAATAGCAAAATAAAACTGAAGCCCTATCAAGACAAGTTTTACTCTGTGATCTGACATGTCCTGTATTACCCATCAGCTGGGTTCCTAACACTAGGATAGGGATTGAAACATACTATTTGGATGGTAGTCTAACTGTGCATTTAATCTAATCATGAATGTTGACAAAGTTTCTGCCTAACTGTTAGCCTTGGAAATGAATTCCACAGCCTCAATTTTCTTTGTAAAGATGTTTCCATTGTCTTCTATACTGGGCCCATGATTTACAGGAAACAGTCTTCTATATCTATCTATCCTCTCCAATTCTTTCAAAGTTTAAAAACCTTCTACAATATATATTGTATGTTGTTCGAATGAAAGAAGCTGCAATTTGTTTTTTTTTTAATTGTATTTCCCGATACCATACACCAGCCTAATGAAATTGTACTGTTCCCTGTGTAAAGCCTCAAAATAGTTCCCACTGTATGAAGTTAAATACTGTACATTGTACTCAAATGGAAATCTTATGAAGTCAGTGTTCTAATGACAACACAAATTTTGCTGATGACACCCAGGATGGTAAAGACAAAGCTACTTGTGTAAAGATTACTATCAGAGATTTGGAACAAATAAATGGATGGGTTAAAGGAATATCAGACGGACTTTAAAGTTGCCATAAATGTACTTACAAAAACTAAAAATCACAGTGGCTCAGTGGTTAGCACTGCTGCCTCACAGCGCCAGGAACCTGAGTTTGATTCCAGCCTCGGGCGACTGTGCAAACTCCACACAGACATTCTCCCTGTGTCTGCATGGGTTTCCTCCGGGTGCTCCGGTTTCCTCCCACAGTCCAAAGAAGTGCAGGTTAGTTGGATTGGCCATGCCAAATTGCCCATTGTGCTCAGGGATGTGTAGATTAGGTGGGTTACTCTGAGGTTCAGTGTGGACTTGTTGGGCCGAAGGGCCTGTTTCCACATTAGGGATTCTATGCTATACCATGCAGAGTGTTTGCAAAGGTGGAAATGAAATTAGTGGAATTATGAACGTTGACTTATTTTATCAGTTATTAGTGAAGTGAATCAACATTGGTGTGCTCAAAAGTAGGTTTGGTTCCTAGTTGTTACAGGCTATTTTAACATGGATGAGACCATATATATGTCTGATTATTGCTCAGGTTCAGAGCGGAGTCATTCTAACTGTGAGCTATTTAGAAAGGCTGAAGGAGATAGTAGGAACTGCAGATGCTGGAGAATCTGAGATAACAAGGTGTAGAGCTGGATGAACACAGCAGGCCAAGCAGCATCATAGGAGCAGGAAGGCTGACGTTTCGAGCCTAGACCCTTTTCTGATGACCCTTTCCAAAAAATAAGATTAAGGACACATGTAATAGAGGTTTTTGAGTTTGAGGCATTAGTAATGTAAATAATTGTAGATTACTTACTTCAATACTTGGCAAGCACAGTATAAAGTTAACAAAATTCAACTGATAGTAGATAGGAGAGAAGGATGCTGAGCAAGATATGTTCAGTGCTTCCCAAACAATTTCCCATCATCAACACATGTTTGAGAATTGCCAAGACCCCAAACCAAGAGACTAGGAGGATGGGGGCTTGGAGAAACATCTGAGCGGCAGGAGAAAAAGCTGTTTCATTCATAGGGATTTTAAGTAAAAAGCGTGTAACCTAGTTTTTCAGGCCTGCAAGATCCAGCAGTTACGCCATACCTATTGTTAATAAAACTGTACAATTTAAAGAGGCCTTGCTTCAAAATGCCCTGACAGCTGCATTGGGACTGTGGAATCCTGGGAAAGTACTTGATTGTGCAGGCATTGGTTTCTGAGCTGATTAAATTTACCTCTGATTGAACAGTATTCACGGAGTTTACATCGCACAACCTTCTCCTGCCCTGATTCACCCTCCCACTCTCTGCTGCTGTTTGTTGCCTGGTATGTCAGCCATGGCTACAATCATACATTGGCAGCTCCATCATTGTGCAAAACCCCAATATCATAAATAAAAACAGTAAAATCTGTACGTACTCAACAGGTCTGACAGCATCTGCAGAAGGAGGAATGAATTTAACATTTCAGGTTTGTAACCTTGCTTCAGAATAGTCCATTCAGTACCTGGAATTTACCAGTTGGAGTGCATGAGTGCCATTTTGCACCCAGTACTGTTGATGGACATCTACCTAGATCCTTGAGGTTAATGGAAGATAAACTGCCTCAATGATTGCCTCCAGCGTTGGTTTACAGGAGTGTCAGGGAAATTAACCTTTGATTCTCCAACAATCTAAGACAGATAACATCTCTATAACAAAGCCAAATTCTCCTCAGTCTGTGGCTTTTTTCTGTAAAATGAGGGCATCTTCCAATCTGCTACTATCATACTAAATATTCCCTTCCGCATGCATGGGCCCAGTGGCTAAGCTCATTGTAGGGTACTAAACACTGATCGGCATGTCTGACCAATAGGTTTCCAGCCCAAGACACACAATGGCCTTCAACATGCCTAACTGTGTGCGTGCAGCTTATTGTAAGGAATATATCTGGGCGAGGAATCCCTGCAACAATATCAAGCAGACAGATCGAATAAACTGTTTAACCACAAGATAATTTGCATGGAAATATCCACAGATATGAACAAAAGCATGTTTTTTAAGGAACATCTTTAAAAAAAGGAAGGAGGGACAGAGAGATTTAGGGTGGAACTTAGTGCACAGCCACCAGAAATGGAGAGATTATAATCAGGGCTGCTCAAGGGAAAAATGAGAGATTACAGGGGGACATGGGTAGGGCTGCAGGAGATTACAAAGATAGAATAGGCAAAGTATGTAGGAATTTGAACATCAGGATGAGAAATTTAAGATAAATTACATTGTGAATTAGCAAATCTGACCACTGATCAGAGCAACAATCAGCAAATTGGCTATTTTTCCTCTATGGAGAATATGACTGTTATCATAAAATCTGCTGTTCATCAGCGGCTGTATGCACGCTGACAGATTGTTTGTTGACCTTGTAATTTTCTGTAGCTCCCAGATGACAGTAGGACAGCTGTTCAGTTTAAAGATCTGGTTCATACTGCTATCTTCTACATGAAAGGAAATAATTCCTTGCAAGTCCTGTGTCATTTTGCTTTTATTTCCTAGGATAAAAATTGCAATACAATTGCACAATCTTTCCTAGCTCTTTTTCTTTCTTGTCTTTCCATTTAATAGATGTTTGTTTTTGTCCCAGACTTCTCTTTCCCAAATTCTTTTATGAGTTTAATGAGTCAGGAGAAAGGTAAATACGGGCAGTGAGCTCAACGAAGATTACAAGTACAGCATCAACCAAGGCTTAGAAGGCAGCGCTCTTGTCAATATATCATCAAAGCAATTACAGTAGAACTAGCATTACTGCAAAATAAAATTCTTTAAAACACGTAAAATATCAAAGCATGTTAGGAAGCTGTAGTACCAGAGATAGTACTGCTAAGAAAATTTAATTTTAGAGATGGACCAAATAGAATACAAAATTGGTCATCTGGAGAAAATGACTTGTCCTTTAGCTATAGAATAGCTTCTAAACACGATACTAAATCAGAAGCTGAACAAGTACATACACTCTATGCAATTGCAAATTCAGCAGATGATGTGAAAGCATGCCATGGGGTAAAAGGAACAACGTATACATTTAAAGAGGTCCTGAAAACTTTGATACTTATTTCAACCTCAGAACTAATTCAATCCTTGCAAAACCAAGGCTCAATTGAAGAGTTCAGCATCTGGGAGAATCTACAGATTATTTAATTCATAATCTCTCCAGTCTAGTAGGGAACTGTGACTATGGCCACTGAATTGTTGTAGACATTACAATAAGCTGTCGTATGATTTGTTGCAGTTAAAGATGATCTGACTCTAGGGAATGTCATTCAAATTGTGAATGAGTCGGCAACATAGATCACTGCTAAGAGCAGAAATCAAACTTGGAGATCATCAAAGCCATTTAATTCTTAAGGTAACAGCAACAAAGAGACATGTGAAAAACCACTGTAGCCACAGGATGGACATCACACATTAAAAACCCTTGCCAACATGTGGAGCAAAGAAACATCAAGTGCGAGCAATGTCTAGCAATCAAAACTGAATGCAATTAATGTAAATCACTAGATCATTTTCAGAAAATATATGAAAGCAGGACAAGCCACAGGAAAGCAAGAGACCAAAGAACTACACACGCAAAGAGATAAATGATAGAGTACAATCTTTAGTAGAAGATAAGTGCAAAGACCTCCTATGGGAAATAGATTACCCAAATCTAGCATTTTGGCTGCTGATATTTATGTCAATAGGAATCTCTCAAATTTCAATTTATACATGTGTCACAATATTATCAGATAGCGAGCCTTGGTTGAGAAACACCGTCTACAACAAACAGAAGTCCCACAACATGGTCTTGGGCATAGCACTTAATGTTCAAGGTGTACTACAAGCAACTCTGCAACATAGAGTACACCAAATACTAAAGACCTGTACGTGCTTCACAATTAGGAATTCTTGCTCCTGAGCAGGAAGGCTTGATTGACTTCAATATCATTCAAAAGGTGAAAGGGATTAAATTACGCCCGGTCAATAAACACCTCGACACGAAGTCTCCTTAAATTCATAGCATCAGATTAGTTAAGTTGGAATAAGAAATTGGTTTAATACTATCGATAATATGGAAAGCTGTGACAATACTGGCTTGCTGGCAATATTTTGCACTGCTTTCGTCTTTAGAGAATGTTAAGATTCCAAGAGCTAGCAATGTCTGCAAGGAAGCACAAGCAAAGAACTAAGTAATGAACAGGGTAGCCCATTACAGGACACTGAAGAATCTGCAACCAAATTGAGTCGGATTGCAACACAGCTTAGTGAACAACTAGTGATGATAAATTCTATTCGTACATTAGAAACTGATATGACTCAGAGGATACAAGTTCAGGTCAACTATCTGACCACTTTATCGTCCGGGGAGAATTGTCAATAACAGTAAAGGGGATCATGCCAAGCAAGAATAAATATTCAAGTAACAACATTGAGAACGTGAACAAGTTGTTTTACCAACAGTTCAATTACTGAGTGCTGATGAGAAAGTCCAAACTAATCAGCAAGTTGAAGTAATAGCTTGATCTACTTCAGCATTGATCTTTGGATGGATTGAGAACAAAAATCCACTCATACTGATATGAAGATGTGGTGCGTGCAACTGTACGGGAGCCATCACTGAGAAGGGACCAGCAATGGCCCAGATTTCAGGATACAGTGAAGAAATAAAAATTGCCCTGCTTTAGCAGGGACGATGTCCTCCATGAAAGAAATTCAAGAAGTTAAGAGCACTCTAGTTCAGAGGGAATTACAGACTTCAGATCATCAGAAAGTCGATCCAAAACAACTATCTTCTCCCAACAAACTACCATTCTCCCCAGTGCAAAGAGGACATGTTCAGGGACAAAACTGAAACCTCTATGTAGTTTGAATTTGTAAAGTCAAAGTATTGGGGTAGATAGAGTAGTGATATGTATAATTACATAACCAAATATAAAACAATAATGTAACAAAAAGGAAAGCTTGGGGGTTAGTTGTTGTATCTGGGTCCGAAAGAGTCAGAAGGAATTTATACTTGACCAAATAACATTAGCACCACACACTCTGATGATATCATGAGGAGCAGAAGCGAGTATGAAAGTATCTGAAGATGGTGAATGAGTCCAACCTGAGACAGATCATCCCAATAAGCTCTGTGATAATGCACAAAACATATTGATGCATGACCAGGTAACTACTCCCCACACACTAGACCGCGAGGTCTTTGAGGAACGTATAACCTGGAAGATATTGGTGGGAGTGCACACAACAGGTTCAAGTCCAGAGATCTGAACCCCATGATCCAGACTGACACTCCCACTCTTACAACAGGAGTGCTGCACTGTCAGTTGGGCATCCTTCAAACAAGTTACTACACTGAGTTCCCCTCTGCTCCTTCAGATAGACAGAGATGGCCTTCACTGAACACTGTAAGAATGAATACAAATGAAGTATCTGAATTATAGGTGGTGGAGGTGAATGCTCAAAACAGATTTGGGTGACTGTCTTGTGCTACTTTAATGGCAAAGGAAGAATTACAATGATGATTATAGAATGGGAGGTATTGAGAGGCCATCCAGTTCCTTAGACCTATTCTGACTTCGAATTAGACCATTCCTGGTCTGTACCTCAGCATCATTTATCTGCTGTTGCGCCATATATCTCGATACCTTTACTCAACAAAAATCAATTCATTTTAAACTTAAAATTTTGAATTGTCTCACAGCCTTTTAGATGAAGGAGCTCCAAACATCTGCCACTTTTTATGTGTAAGTGCTTCTTGATTTCACTGGTGTTTGGTCTGGCTCTGAACTTAAGCTGTGGATAGGGAGGTTAATATCTATTCCTCTTCATTTTTAAGTTGTTTAACAATACTTGGTAATAGCAAATAACAGTTGCATTTTTTACATTGTTTATGTGATTCAATTTATTGGATTCATTTTTTCTGAAGGTTTTGGGAACAGATTGTTGAGGAGATGATTATGTTGTCATTTTTGGATTAATAAGCATGCTCCAGTCTGGACTGAATTCTGCACATGTCTTTACAGCTTGGAATCATTTCTGTATGGCCTGCATGCGTTATTTAAAGGAGATTTTAGAATCACCGCCAAGCAGGAATGGATCTTTGAAGACATAGATCTGCTGCATAAGGTCGTTGCCCCAGGAATCTGAATGTCCCTGAAGCTTCACCAGGTATGTTAACTGTTCAGATGCTCTGTAATCAGGGTGAGATACATTGATCAGGCACATCAGAAGCCTCAGGGAAACAATGAAATATGGTAAACTCTCCACAAGAATTGAGTAAAGCTTAACATAGCTAACTGCCTTATACAACAATAAATGTAGAAGCTCATAGCACAGAAACATGCCATTCAGTCATCATGCTCTTCAGGTTCAAGAGCTATTTGGCTAGACCCACTCACATGATCTTTTCCCATGATCATACAAAAGGTATTTGAAACATTAGTGAAGATATTTCACAGACCCGCCTGCTAGATAGGACACTACAGGGTCACATTCAGTCAGACAGAACTTCAGACACAAATCCATAACAGGGAGGAGGCCACTGCGGGTTTACTCCAACTCATCACTGTTGAGAAAGTCTCCATCAGTCGCAACACAGTCCAGCTGAATCTCACCTTAAGGTAAGTGCCCAGGACTGACACTTTACTATCTACACCGCATTCATCCACCCCAAGGCAATTATAGGGGTATGGGGCCAGAGCAACCTGATCCCTGAGTCTGAGGTCTTCCTTCTTGCAATAGAATCGGAGCCTTATGTTGTACAGAGAATGTTGTTTGTGCTCCCCGCTGTGTCAGCAAGCATGGGAAGTGTAGCCAGTCCCCCCTCAATGTGTGAAAAACTTTTTTCTCTTGTATCACATTTACTCCTTTTGTAAAACTTAAATTGTGCCCTCTGGCTCTCAGTCCTTTTACAAATGGGAACAGGTCGTACCTACCTACTCTGTACAGACCCCTCATGATTTTGAAAATTTTGATCAAGTTTACTCTACGTGTTCTCCTCTCCAATTTCTCCAATCTTTCCTCGTAACTGAGGGTTCTCATCCTTGCCATAATTCTTGTACATTTCTTCTGAGGGCTAACAGTACACTCTGCAGGAAGGGATCAAAGGGTGCACAATCAGCCTTGATCTCCAGATCACTTTGTTCTGACATCTGTTGAATTTCATTTTTGGATTGTGGGCATTGCTGGCAAGGCTGGCATCTGTTGCCCATCCCTAGTTTCCCTGAGAGGTTAGCACTGCATCATTCAGAACTACTGATAGCAGCCAATTTGTTAGGTTACTTCCGCAGGCAAACTGATACACTACCAAAGCCATAAAAAGACCAGATTGGATAAGGACATGAGGTTTTCTTCCCAGAAGGACATTAGTGGAATGATGGGTTTTTGTGACAATTGGACAGCTTTGTGGTCACATTTATTGATCATGCTTTTTACTGCCAGATTTTTAAAGAATTGTGTTCAAGCTTTCAAACTATCCTGGTAGAATGGAACCCATGTTCTCTGGATTGGTCCAGTTACATATAACAATATGAAAGCATACTCTAAAGATTGAGGTGAAGGTAATGTTGGGTAATTTCCCAATTTGTTTGTACAACTTCTTCCCTCTTGCTGGAAAACCCACTTACTCTGGGTCTGGCATCAGCTACAGACACTACATGACATTTAATTGAAATAAGAAGGCGTTTCCTGTTTGCATTCCAAAGCTGTTTATACCTGCTACAGCAGATTTGTGGACTTTTACAGCAAAAAGGATCCAGTCTGCAAATTCCATGTTTCGTAAAGTATTCTGTAGGTTTAATTGTTAATATTCAAACATAGTTCAGGATCCTATCACGAATCAGAGTCATGCTGCTGGTCATTGTGCCACCTCTTCTTGTAATTCACTTATGAAAAGGACTTATTAAATCAAAACAGCAGTAAAGTATTGGATGATCTGTTGCCACATTGCACACTGTGAATCTCACAGACTGTATAAGGCACACATAGGAACAAAAACATTTAACCTCTCAATCCAGTTCTGTCTTTCAATGAGATAATAGCTGATCTGTCATATACCTCCACATCCTTAGCTTTTTCCTATATCCATCAATATTTTGGACAAAATATACCAGTCTCAGATTTAAAATAAACAGTTGATCAAGCATTAATTGTTCTTAGTGGAACAAAGTTTGAAACTACGACACACTTTTTAATTTTCATGTGTTTGCCAATTGCACTCCTGATAGATCTGGATTTAATTTTTAGGCTATGGCCTAGATCTCTGAATCAGAAGATAGTCATTGCAATAATGTATCCTGAAAGATGTGTTACCAGATGTTTCAAAAGTCCCAGTGCACCAAATACCAATGATTAGTCTGGGAGGTTTAAACTTAGCTGTATCTGGAATCCTCTGAAGGTCAACAACTCTGAAGGTTCCAATTCACTTACCTGGTTAATTATCCAGGAAAAGTCAGAGGGTTAAAACTTGCCCAAATCTGACCCTCACTAACACCCCCAACATATTTCCTAACCTGACCTGGCCCGAACCATCCCAACACCTCTCATACTCAACATTCAACTTGCCACTGACCTACTTTACCCCTCATCCATTTACCTGTCACCTACCTCTTCAACCACTTACATGCCATCTGTCCCCCACCCACTACCTGGCACCTTACTCACACCCCTTTACCCACTGATCTGCTGTCCTAACCCCTTGCCCACTGGAAATCTACCTCCTTAGCCACCCACCTGTCACCCTATCTCTTACCCACGGAAGCTTACTCCTTTACTCAATTCCTGGCACTCTAGCCCATAAACTCTGGCAGCATCTGTGGAAAGAAAGCATAGTCAACATTTTGGGTCCATTGACCCTTCTTCAGAACACTTTTTTGTTACTTTATACGTTAACCTTCTCTCTGTAGCATTTCAGTGAGATTTTGGGACATTTAAACTCTTCAGTTTGGCAGCTGTTGCTGTAAAAAATAGTGGATACAACATGGTTCCCCCAATGATCCTACACTTCAAGGATTCATAAGTGAACGAAGCCACACCACACACACCTGAAGCCTCCAGCATAGGATGTTAGACCCAGACATGTGGAATATGGTCGCACAGTAGGAAAGTAGGTGTGAGGGCAGCAATCCAACAGTGATCACTGCTTTCAAAAGATTCGGGCCCATGTGTCTCAGATTCAGCTTCCTCAACCAACATAAACAGTCTATTTTTATCTACCTATCTATTCCCCATAATACCTTGAAAATTAAATGAAATCACACCACATTCTTCTAAATTTCAAGGAATAAAACATTATATTAAGTAATCTTTCCTTGTAATTTAACCCTTGGAACGCAGGTATTCTGGGAAACTAAATTGCACTTCCTCCAAGGCCACCTTATTCTCTTTAAGGTGAAGTACGAAGAAATGCTCGCAGTACTCCAGGAGTGGAGCAACCTGGGCTTTGCATAACTTCTTCCCTCTTGCAATCTATGGCTTTAAGTATATAGGCTGTCCTTCGAATAATGTTTTTCAATTTTTTTATTGTACTTGTTTAAGACAATTTAATGATTTACCTATTTTCATTCAAGAATTTTTGAATCTTCACTGTATTTCTTGCCATCCTGTTTAGGAGTCATCATCTACCTTTTTACATATCCATGTTGGCTGTCTTTGAGCTGAAAAGTTTTCTGTAGCTGTTCAGGGTAGTGATTTCCCATCAACAGATGGGCTGATTCGTCTATAATTCCCGGGTTTTCTTTTCACGTTTCTTATATAACCCAGGGACATGATTAATTTCCCAATCTAAAAGAATGCTTCCCAAATGTGCTTTGAAAGATTATAGAACAGATATCTGCAATGTTCTCACCTACTCCATTAAAACTCTGAGATGATTTTCCGGTCCTGGATAATTGTTAACTCTTTAGTGTTATTATTTTCATTATGTTATTTTGCTTATTATAATTTTAGTGCAACTCTGTCCATAACTTGAGTTTTCTTGTGATTTTCAGCATGCTGACCCCGTCCTCTAATGTCAGTTCTGATGCTAGGTAATTTTCAACATGTCCACCATTTCCTAATTTTCAACATGTCCACCATTTCCTTATTTTCATTGACGGTATAGTCGTCATAAATTTCAAGGAGACCATGTTGCTTTTGACCACCTTATGTCTCCTTAAATAACTCTGAAAACAGTGAAATTTTTAAAAAATGTGACACAGTCTTGCCAATTCTGGCTAGACACTCTCTGGGAAATGTCGCATGACCTCCTACCTTTACTGTTCCTCCCCTAGATGCTACTATTCGTCTTTGAGGCAGGTCGAAAATGGCAGAGTCTGACACTATCCCCACTGCATCCCCAGGCCCAGGTACCGACTACTGATTCCTGCTTGTGCCTTGCGCCTTGTCTGGTGAGGACTAATCCTTGGGTATGACACTCCTCATCCACACTTCCTCCATTGTCAGCAGCACTGCAGCTGGTGATGATGTCCCAAACAACCCTCAGGCTCAACAGAGAGCAGCCTCAACCCAGCTCTGGAACCTGCTATCTTTAACAGCAATAGAATTGATGCCTTACAACCATCTGGCCACCATAAGCTACAATCCTCATCCACCCCCAACTGTCCCCTCAGACTAAAATTGTGGCCACCTACCAAACCCACCCACCCTGATTCGCTCCATATCAAATAACATTTTGCATGTCCTATTAAGAATTTCTGGATTATTTTCAGTAGTCACCTGGAGATGGTTGCTAATTCTGATAGATTCCTGGTCTGACTCACTACACACTTTGCAGGCCTGGTACACTACAAACTCAGTGGTAGAGAAACTGTGGTTGTAGAGGAGACTGAAGTCACAGAAACAGAGAGACAGCCTGAGGTCACAGACCAGACAGACAAAAATACTAGGGTGACCAGGAAGGGAAACATTGAGTTGACAAAGGGAGGAGGCTGTGAGCTAAAGGAAATGCGCTCTGTCTTTTCTGGTGGGAATCAAATATAGTGCAGATAAATCCGGTCAGTATAACAGCTGCTTGAGAGTAGGTGCTAGCCCCATTCTTAAACTGTTGACCCAAGGAATCAGGATGTATTTTTTTTGTGTCCAGGATCACTTCACTTCATCCGATGAATATGAGGACCCTGAGATTCTGTACAGTGCCATCAGCAGCCATGAGCAGACAATGGTCATCTGTCACGAAGGAGATCCACTATGGCGCCAGTCCATCCTGTCAAACGCAGAGGCTTTACTCGCACTCCGACATGTAGTCGATGATGGAGTTGATGAATACAAGATAATTATGCTCCATCGTCGTTATATCAGCTTTAAAGTAGTGAAGGTAGTCACTGTTAACATACTTTTCATTCAGATGTACCATAAAAGCTAGGGTTCTTTTCTATGGAAAAGAGGAAGGATGGTAGTGAACTAATTGATATCGATCTGGATAAGTGGGATGTGGGTGTTGCTGGCTGGTCAGCATTTATTGCCCATCCATAGTTGCCCTTGAGTAGGTGGTGGTGAGCTGTCTTCTTGAACCACTGCAGTCCATCTGCTGTGACTTAACCCAAAATGCTACTGGGGGGGCATTCCAGGATCTTGGCCCAGTGACAGTGAAGGATGATGAGTGGCTTGGAGAGGAACTTAAAAGTGGTGGTGTTTCCATATATCTGCTGCCCTTGTCCTTCCAGATAGAAGTAGCTACTGAGCGTCAGTGATGGAAGGAGTGGATGCTTGCCTCTGAGCAATAAGAGTGTAGATTTAAGTCCCACTTCAGAAACATGAACCCACAATCCAGTGTAACACTCCAATGCAGTGAGGAGTGAGTTCTGCATGTTGGAGAAGACATCTTTCAGACAAACCTTTAACCTGAGGACCCTTCTGCACTCTTAGGTGGATGTGATGGATTCTAACGCACAAATTTGAAGAGTAAGTGAGCCTTTCAGGCCAGTATTTATCCTTCAAACAATGTCACAAAAATAAATTTAATCATCTGACCATTATCTCATTGTTATCTCTGGGAATTTGCTGTCTGTTAATTGTCACATTTCCAACTTTGCAGTAGTGACTACACTTCAAAGCACTATGAGATGATTTTAGATCATGAAAGACACAATAGAAATGCATCTTTTTGGAGGTCTTTAAAATTGAGGATAGATGTAGAGAGCACGGTCTTCCCCACGTATGGAAAAGAAAACTAGGAGCTATAAATAAGGTTCAACTAATTTACACTGGTATTTATGTCTTTGAGTTGAGAAACATCCTTCTTCATCTAACCTTCTCAAGATGGACGTCTATTTCTTTCTCCCTCTTGTACTTATCTAATTTCTACTGAAATGTATCTGTACTGTTTGCCGTAACTAGTCTGTGTGAGAGTTCCACATTCTGTCAGTCAGGAATTTTCTTCTGAACTTGCTAATGGATTTATTACTTGTTTCATGTTCTATTTATGGTTCATCTTGCTTCCAAGATGAGAGGACTTTTCTTGTAGCATATGTTTTATTTATATTCATAGTACGATACAATATTGTACATTTTCTCTGACAATAGGTAAATAAAGAATGTGTGAAAGGTCTGTGGGCAGGACAGCAACTCGAGCTGGTGTTCCTCCAGAATCGCAACCCAGAGCGAGGCAGCATTCAAAATGCTAAGCAGGCCTTGAGAAACATGATCAATTCCTCATGCGATCAGCCAATTGGCTATCCAATTTATGTCTCACCCCTTACAACATCCTACGCTGGATCACACAAGCAGCTCAAGAATATCTGGGGAGGTCCAATCAGTTTGGAGAATCTCAACATGTGGTTCACTTCCAGGTGGCAGAAGTAATTATTAATCTATCTTGTTTCCCAGTCTCTTGATTCCAATAATTTAAGATTCTCATCTTTGTGTTCAGTTTCCTCTTTGTCTTGCCCCTTCCTATCTCTGTAACCTTCTGCAAATGCATGCTAAAGACTTAAAACAATTTTCTTTGGACTTTTTCATGTAACCATCTATTCACAGATTTCTTCACATGTAGTGGGAATCAGACTTTCCTGCCAATACGAATTGGTCCTTAGCTCTCACAAGAGACATTGCACCCTGTGAAGTGACAGCTGAGGTGGTGTTTAAGGCCAGGGTCATCCCAGCCACTGTTTTCCAGTGGGTTCCTAACTGCCGGATAGCAATTGCCGGCAGCTTCATCTTGGTCTTCCATCTTGGTGTATTGGTGTGTAAGCTGATATTGATTTTCTTCACTATTTCACTGGCATAGTTGGTCTCTTATTTCTCCACATTCCTATCTTCGTTGCATACTTCACTAGTGTTTCCAGTCAGTTCTTTGTCGAGTTATTGAGATCATTATAGGTCAGTAATCAGACTAGTTTTGGAAATCCCATTAGAGCATTGTTTACTGGTGTCACAGGGAAACTTAACTGCCACAGCATAAATCCTGTACATCAGCATGTTAGTCTCAGAATTGCAACATGGTTACAGTGCAAAAAAACAAAGCCCATTTGGCCCATTGTTCCTCCACCAGCTCTCTGAATAAGTAACTCAACTTATGTCATTCTCTTGCCTTCTCCCCATAAACCTGCACTTCCTTCCTTTACAGATGACAATCTAGTTCCCTTTTGATTGAACCTACCTCCACTACAGTCTCAGGCATTGTATCCCAGACCTTAGCCAACACATTGAAAAAAATGTTCCTCATGTTGCCTTTGCTTCTTTAACCAATAACTTTAAATGTGTATCCTCCTGTTCTTGATCTTTTCACAAATGAGAACTGTTTGTCCAAATCTCCTTTGTCCAGAGCCTTCATGATTTTGAATATCTTTATCCAACCGCCTCTCCAAGGAAAATAGTCCCAAGACAATCTCACCAGATTTTTGAATGGCATGCATGTTTTACGTATCAATCTCAAAAACAAAAACATACCATGCCTTACCTACAGTATCTGGAGACTTAATGTGAAAGTGAAGAGTTAAACATAAAAATTAAAGGATAAAAGTTGGAGGTGTGTTGAAATTAAAAAGTTGCTGGAAAGGTTTTGAACTTTACATTGGATGTGAATATAGGAAGTATGGTTACTAAGTTTGAAGATGACAATTGGAAATGAAAATTGATGGTGTAGCGGACAGCAAAGAAGGTTACCTTAGAGTATAATGGGACCTTGATCCGATGGATCAAGGAGTGGCAGAAGGAGTTTAATTTAGGTAAATTTCAGGTGCTAAACTCTGGCAGGGCAAATCAGGTCAGGACTTAATACACTTAATGGTAAAGTCCTGGGGAGTGTTGCTGAACAAAGAGGCCTCGGAGTACAGGTTCATTGTTCCTTGAAAGTGGAGTCACAGATAGACAGGGTAGTGAAGAAGGTGTTTGGTGTCTTGCCTTTGGTGGTCAGTGCATTGAGTATAGGAGTTGGAAAGTCATATTATGTGGCTGTACAGGATATTGGTTAGGCCGGTTGTGGAATACTGCGTTCAGTTCTGGTCTCCCTGCTATAGGAGAGATGTTGTTAAACTTAAAATGGTTCAGAAAAGATTTACAAGAATTTTGGAGGATTTGAGCTGTAGGGAGAGGCTGAATAGGTTAGGGCTATTTTCCCTGGAGCATTGAAGGCTGAAGGGTAACCTTATAAAGGTTTATAAAATTGTGAGGGGCATGGATAGGGTGAATAGTCAAGGTCTTTTCCCCAGGGTAGGGAATGCAAAACTAGAGGGCGGATGTTTAAGCTGAGTGGGGAAAGATTTAAAAGGGACCTAAGGGGCAACTTTTTCATGCAGAAGGTGGTGCATGTATGGAATGAGCTGCCGGAGGAAGTGGTGGAGGCTGGTACAATTACAACATTTAAAAGGCAGTTGGGTGGGTATACGAATAGGAAGGGTTTAGAGGGATATGGGCCAAATGTTGGCAAATGGGACTAGATTTATTTAGGGTATCTGGTTGGCATGGACAAGTTGGACCAAAGGGTCTGTTTCTGTGTTGTACATCTCTATGATTCTAAATTTGTGGATTTTTTTTTAGAACACAACCTTTTAGGTTCAATAAATGTCTACAATCTAAAGGATTTACAGTTGCAAAAGTTGAGAACGTGCAGAGGGTTTGAGTGTCAGGCTGCAGGGGCTGTGGCAGGAACGATGCCAGTATCAAATTGCTGAGAGAGAAGAATCATCATACTGGAGGCCAGACAGTCCATTAACAGCAGCGGGGAACAGAGATGGTGCTGGGAGGACATCACTCCAAATGTGTCACAACAGGATGTTGCTTTTTTGGGATCAGGAAGAATGTGCACACATTAGCTTTTTAATACAATGTTGATGTACAAGATAGGAACTTTGTAGCTATCTTCAGTAGAGCAAAGAATGTTGCCACTAAATGTAGCTGCAAACAGGAGGCAATAGTGATATTGGACTGGATAAAAGTAGATGAAGAGGCAGTTCAAAATACTGATAATCCTCAAAGTGGGTAAGAGGTCTAGTTTTTAGTGATCTACTTATTAAGAGTAGAAATTGTGGAGGCTGTGGCCAAAATTTTCCGATCTTCTAATGGATATAGGGATTGTACTGAGCAAAGCTGAATTACAAATGTTACATTCTGTTCAGGGAGAGCAGGCTAGATCCAGGAACTATGAGCCATTCATTTTAATATTGACGATGGGAAGGTTTTAGAGATGAAATTTTCCAAGAAAATTAACTGGCATTTGGAGAAGTATGTGAATAGAAGTTAATTTGAATTTGTTAAAGGAATATGATTTTTGACTAATTTGATCAAATTCTTTGATGAAGTAATAGAAAGAATGGAAATGGCTTATGTGGCTGATATACATTTAGGCCGTTTTCATCAAAGTCCCAAATTGCATTCTGTTGTTTTTTTTTGATATATAGAAATGATCTGGATGGGTATGGGACAGATGATACAAAACTCAGATACGTAGTGAAGAGTGAGGACAGAACAGACTTCAGGACATAGTCTGGTAAAATGGACAGACAGATGCTGGATGAAGTTTAGAGAATTGTGAAGTGATATGTTTTGGAAGGAAGGGTAAGAGAAGCAATATGAACAAAGTGGGACACTTTTGAAGGGGGTGCAGAACACATGGAGGTGGCAGTTGAAAAGGTTGTCCAAAAAAGCATTATTGGTTCCTTGACTTAATTAAAAGAGGAACAGAATATAAAAGTGATGAAATTATGCTTTAAACTTGAAAATAATACTTTAGGCCTCAGTTGGGATATTGTGGGCACATCTGGCATTACACTTTAGGAAGGATAACAAGGATTTAGAAAGGGTACAGAGACGTTTGCTAAAATAGTACGAGGGATGACAGACTTCAGTTATGTGAAAAGGGTGTGAAAGTTGGGAATCTTCCCCTTGGAGCAAAGAAGGTTAAGAGGAGATAGTAAAGTAAAAAGTAAATTAACAGAAGTAATTTCAAGTACCAGAAGAGTCAGTAATCAGAAGACACATTTAAAATGACTGGCAATAAATCCAGAGGTGAATGAAGCAATCTGAAATTTGTTGTCTTAGAGAGGGGTGGAAGCAGATTCAGTAGATAAGTTTTAAAAGAGAATTGGATAAATACTTTAAGGGAAAAATGTACAGGGATGTGGTAAGAGCTGGGCAGCAGGACTAATTGGATAGCTCTTTCAAAGACCTGACCTAAGTACAATGAGTCAGAGAACCTCCTTCTGGGCTGTGTGATTCTATAATTGTTAACTGTCAGACTTTTAAAGTTCATGAGCTACATAAACGAAAACATTTTGACTAAGTATTTATCTTAACCTAATGTCCTTTAATCTCCTGATAATAGAAGCTGAAAATGTTGAATGTTTTACTTGTTGCTGCATTAGATAGTACCCTTTGTTGACCATTAAAATGACTTCACCTCTTGCTTTACTCATGCTAATGTTCACCTTAATGTCTTTGATTCTATTTCTCTTTATACCGTTTATTGCATATTATACTTCTGTTGAGAATGAATTTCAACATTTGTGATCACCAGTGTATTTCAAACTAAGCAGTGCCCATCAGTTTATGAATTGTGATAATTTTTCTAGAGAGGCTGCAATTGCCCCTGTGGAACTAAATGTCCAGGTTTGACATCTGATATTAGTGTCTTCGTACCTCTAGATTGCGCAAGGGCTGTACCGGAGGTAACATTGATGATTCAGATTGTGGAGGAGCTTCCTCGGCTAGCAGCAACAACTACGCTGGGAACACAACTCAGAGCGTCAGCTCCAAGCAAACAACGGCCTGGAGGCCACACGCAGTAGCTTCGTTGACTGCTCACCAGGCCAGGGGTATATCAATCGGTGATAATGCCAAGATGTTGCCACGTTATAATTATTGTTAATTTAGTTCTCCTTCCCTCAGTGTGGAATCTTGTGCTGCTCTTAGGAGCAGGAAGCAAGGCAAGCAGAAAAAAAACTGGACAAGAAGCCAAAAATCAAATTCCAAACAGTGGGATTAAAGTTTGAAACTAAGTTCTCAGACCTTTAAAGGGCAGGTTGAGCTTCCTGATGAAAGGCATGAGAAGCCCCTTTGCTTGCATTTGTGCAAACCGTTGCTGTTAACCAACATGTTAGATCTCAGCTTGAGTTTTGTCACTTACTGGTTTTCAATGAAATAGTGCTGGTCACCGTGCTTTAGGAAGGATGTGAGGCTCCTTGAGATTGTGCAGAAGAGATTTATCAGAAAGTTTCTAGGGATAAGAGATTTAAACTGCAAAGTTAAATTAGAAAAGTTTTGGTGGCTTTCTTTGGAGCAAAGGAGACTTTAGAGGGGGTTTTACAGAGATGTACAAAATCATGACTGATTTAGATAAGAAAATATACACCGTTAGATGGTGTGACAGGGACTGGAGGACGCAGATTTATGATTTCAGGCAAAAGTACAAGGGAGCTGAGAGAGAAAACATTTTCTCACAAGTGGTAGTGAGCCGGAAGTCCCTGCCCACAAAGTGGCTAGAAGCAGGGCCCAGTAATTGGGGTTCTAGGCCCACTGTACTCAGGTTGGAAGAATCTCTGTGGTGACTGGATTGGGAGGACTGCTCGGGAGCAGCACTGGGCCCCATGATTTCTGTTCCTGCCCCTGGATGGAAGTGGCATCTATTGTTGGAAATTGGAAAGGAGATTAATTGGTTAGGCACTTGAGGGAAATTAACTTTCAGGACTATAATAGAACATAGAACATAGAACAGTACAGTACAATACAGGCCCTTCGGCCCACGATGTTGTGCTGAACTTTTACCCTAAGGTAGATAAGAGGAATGAAATAAATACTGAGAGCTGACATGGACTCATTTAGCTAAATAGCTTCTTTCTTTGTTGCAATGGCTCTGTGTCTCTCAGATTGCAAAGGTGCACCACACTAGTGGTTGCTCAGATGTGAAATGAGCAACCAGTGAAGGAAGGTAAACAAATGGAAGGGAGTTAGCAAAACTTTAAACAATTGGACTGTTTGAAAGCTGGGGAGATGAGGGGGTTTCTGGAATAAGAGATAAAGGGGGAACAACGCTGGGGAAGAGGGGTCTAAGGGATTACATTCTGAAGAGATGGGTTAAGGGGAGGGAGGTGTAAGCGGGAATTGTGAAGTCTGAAAGAAAATGTCATTGAAAAAATTCTAAAGGAGAACATGCAGCAAACTGGGAATTAATATTTTAAAAACAATGATATTTCAAATATTTTCTGAGCCAGATTATTTCTGGAGAAGTTGTTTTAAAGATTGTTAGTCTTTTGGGAGCTGCTTTCTGTATACATTAGTCTCTCAGCATGTGACGGAATTTGTAGCAGGAGGGTAAAGCACTGCATATGTTGTGAGGTAATTGACTGCTATATGTGACTGGGCAGATGATACAATTAGACAGATAAAGCAGCTACACTTCATTATGTGAAATGCTAAACTGCCCAGACCCAAAAGTTGCATAGAAAAGTATAAAACATAGAAACTAGGAGCTGAAATAGGCCATTCAGCCCTTTGAGCCTCCTGACCATTCAGTGATCCTGTATCTTAATGCCAGATTCCCACTTTCTCCCCATTCCCTTGATGCCTTAAAAAATTATAAATTTATCTTTTTTTCCCAAATATATTCAGTGATTTCAACACCGCAGTCTTCTGTGGTAGAGGATTCCATAGGTTCACTATCTTATTTGAAGAATTGTTTCCTCACTTCAGTCCTAAATGGGTCTACTCTGTATCCTGAGACTGTGTCTCCTGGTTCTGGACTCCCCAACCAGGGAAAACATCCTTCCTGCATCTCTTCTGTCCAGCCTTGTTAGAGTTTTATACGTTTCAATCAGATTCTCTTTCATCCTTTGAAACTCTAGTGAATACAGGCCTAGTCAATCCAATCTTTCTTCTTGGGACAGTGCTGCATTCCCAGTATCATCCTAGTGAACCTCCACTGCACTCCTTCAATGGCATATCCTTATTTAGGTAGGGAGATCAAAACTACACATTATACTCAAGGTGTGGTTTCACCAAGGTCCTGTATAATGCAGTAAGAAGTCCCTACTTCTGAACTCAAATCCTCTTGCATTGAAGGCCAATATACCATATTCATTCCTAACTGCTTTCTGTACCTGTCTGTCTTATTTCATTGACTGGTGCATAAAGAACACCCAGATTCCTTTGTACATTGATACTTCCCAATATATTGCTATTTTAAATAATACAGTTCCTTACTGTTTTTTACACCAGAGTGTATAAGTTAATATTTCGCCATATTGTATTGTATCTGCCATGTGTTTACCAACTCACTCAACTTGTCTAAATCCTCCTCTTAACACCAGCCAGTTTTGTGGCATTAGCAAATTTAAAAATGTTCCATTTGTTTCCTTCATCCATGTCATTTATATATTATCATGAATAGTTGGGCCCCAAACACTCATCCTTGCTGTAACTGCACTTGGAAGGAGACCCATTTATTCCCAGTCTCCATTCCTGTCTCTCAAACAACCCTCAATCCATGCCCAATATATTACCCTGCATCCTATGTGCTTTTGATGGGAACATTGGTTTTACTGCAAAAAGAGTCGGGCTCAGCATTTCACCATGTGTAGTCTGCTTGTTTATTCTCTTATTTATAAGGACCAACAAATATTGCCTAAGCAAATTGAGTCATGGACTTTTGCATGATATCTAACAGTGAAGGTGCCATGTAAAATTGACCATACCGTTCTACTCATTCAACGTCCCTGTAAAAAAAAAAAAAAAATTAGCAGCTACCTTTTAAAGAGTTCCAGTTTGAGTGCAGGACTTTACAGAATCCGGCCAGCATCTACATCTCCCACTTGGTAGCTGTGCTTTCTGGCATCTTCAATCCATGTACTGGAACTTTCTCCCTGTAAACCTCAATGTCTCTGTGTCTCCCCTCCTTTAAGATGCATCTTAAAACCAACCTCTTTTACCACCTTTCCCAATATCTTCTTGCATGATTTGTTATTGAATTGTGTCTGATTTATGATGCTATGAAGCACCATAGAGTGTTTTATTATGATAAAGGCCCTACTTAGCTTATAGAAATCTTAAAAAAAATTTCTTAAAAATGAGGGCCTCATTTTCAATATGGAATATGTTTTATGTAGCCATTTAAGGGAAAGGCCCTGGATAATTTAGCAGTGGATTGTGGGCCCAGTACAGATCAGACTCAGGCCTATGTCCAGCTCAAATGCTTTAAAAACAGAATGAAATAATAAAACAAAGTGCCCCACAGTCTCCTTTACTATTTATTTAGATCTGTGCACTTTTAATTTCAGTAGATTGTCTTTGTTGATCTGATTTTTTAAAATTTAGATGACCTATAATCTCTGGCAGTAAATCCCCAAATTCCATGGGTGGGGGACATCATGGTTTCAGACTTGGACTTGAATCACTGTATCCTTTTCAGATCTTTTGTCTATTCTTGAGTCTAAACAGTGTTCCCATCTGTGAGTTAACAAGATCATTTACACTTCTTTGTTTATTGTTATGAGCACATTTTGACTTTAGCAAGTATTGAGTAGCCAGAAAGTCTTTAGGGTAAGAGATGAACCATTTAGACTGAGAAGAAAGTGAAGTTCTCCTTGCAGAGGGTTGTGAATCTTTGGAATCTGTAATTTTAGAGGGTTTTGGATTTTAAGACTGTAATGAATATCGATTTTGGGCAGACTGGGAATCAAAGGTTGTGGGATTAGGGTTGCAAAGTAAAGCTGATGTTCGAGTTTAGCGGGGATGTCATTGAATTGTAGAGCAGACTGAAGTGCTGTCTCCTAAATTCAAATTCCTAAGAATTAGACAATTTTAAAATAAAAGAGGATATATCATGGTCTGGCCATGAAGGAACAGTGTACTTCGTCTTCCAAAAATATTTGTGATGGGTGAGTGGTAGTCTTTATTATTCCAATACTAATTGTATTACAAAAACATTAGCTAATTACTGATCAGAGATGGCACTGTCCCTTTAATAGATTGTTATTGTTTAAATTTTAATCAGTTCATCTTCAGGAAAGCAACAACTCCAGTCATCCAGTGTAGCAAGAGATGTTTCAAGGAAATATGATAACACTGACAGGAAGCCTCACAGTGGGAGCTTGATCACAGTAGCTACAGACAAGTGCTCTACACTGAGTACTGCAACATTAACAACATAACTGAATAAAATTTTCAAAAAAAAACCAAACAAATAACTTGATTTTTTTATAGATCAACTTAATGCAGTTCGACATCAGTGTTTCGAAACCTGTACAATATCTGCTGTATTAGCAAGTGTGTAATTGGGTAAAAAGCAACAGAGATACTTAAATTAATGAGCCAGTGATTGATAGAAACATAATATGAACCTCCTGGAGACTAACCCATACAGTTAGACTTCATCTGGAATATTGGCTTCATTGCTGGGCACTGCAACTGAGCCAGTCTGAATCACATTATTCAAGCTATTCCCATATTTGTTTTACACATTTATATAATTGACAGAGTTAAGTTTTTGATATTATTTACTTTTATCTGGATAACAATTTAGCAAGAGGAAATAAGTCTTTTTGCTCATTGAGAATGTAAATGTTATAAAACACACAATATGGAAATATTTTACATTTGTTTGCTGAGGTAGAAAGAGTCTACGTTCATATACATATGATCGCCTTTCTCACCGCACTTCAAAACATTTCAGATGTACTAGTGGTGGGCTTGTAAGTTCTTTTTAAAAGTGTCATCTCCAATCTATCTGAGAATAGTTTTGAAAGTTCAAGACTCTAACCTACAGCGTGATCACTACCCTAGATGTTCTTTGTTTGGACTTTTTGATATCTGCAAGGACATTAATGTATGGATATGCTAATGCTTGTACATAACTGAAATATTCAAGAAAGACCATGCTGTTTTGTTAATGTATCTTTCTCATGATGTAGGTGTCACTGGCAAGTTGGCACCTACTGTCCCTCCCTTTTACCCCTCAAGAAGGGTATGATGGGCCTTCTTAACCACTGAGGTGAAGGTGCTCCCCACAGTGCTAATGAACAGTGAATTTCAGCATCATGACTCACTGTAAATGAAGGAATAGTGAGTATATTTCCAGGACAGGAGGTGTGTGACTTCCACTTGTTGTCATTGTCTTCTAGAGATCGCAAGTTTGGGAGGAAATTTAAGTGATATATTTTCCAAATTTTCTTCATTTGATAGTCAACCGTTGCATACTTGCAGTTACCTAGCAGGCAACATCTAAATCTAGGCAGTGCAAAGAATACAAAAAGATCTAAGGCATTTAATTTAACTTTTGTCCAAGCATATCAGTTGTAAAAGTGTCGTTACAATGAATGAGTTACAATCCAATCTGTTGTTTTTGCATTGCAGAACGGAGGGAACAGAGGAGCTGTCCAGTGCAAGCTCGTTCATCTCCTTCAGAGATCCAGCGACCACCTGCTACAAGTCAGTCAGGGTCATTGCTAGAAACAGAGCAATCACCTTCACAGGCATCAACATCCATCCAAGGCTTTGTTCAACTGTCATTCAATAATTCAATTGCTTCTATGTTATCTGAAGTACCTCACCTTTCCACTGCCAGTCAGCTCAGTAGCCAGGGCCGTTCATGTACACAGAACAGGCGCAGCATCACCACCTCCTCGAGCTCTACCCTTAGCCTCTTGTTCGGGAAAAGAAGTTTATCCAGTGGACTTGTGATATCTGGGCTCTCAGCAGCAGAAGAAGGGAACACAACTGACACCCAGTCAACAAGCAGCGTCAACATTGCAATTGGACCATCAGTCAGCCATGGGAGCCAGATGACACGGGTAACACCACAGTTCTTCACCTCTACTCTAAAGGGTCTTTGTAAAGCTCATGCCCAGAAGTTACCTTTATTCACCTTTGGGACATGGGTGCCCTTGGCAAGGGCAACTACCTGTTCCTAATTTCCCTTTAAAAAGGTGATGATGGTGAACGATTGGTATTGGTACATCTAGAGTGCTGTTAGGTAGGCTCTGTGATTTTGATTCTGCCAATGAAAGAATGGTCATATATCTCTGAGTCTGGATGGTATGTCACTGAGATGGGAATTTGCATATTATGGCATTTCCTTGTACCTGCCCTTTTCTTTCCAGGTGGTCCACACTGAGAGTTTGGAAGGGACTGTTGAGGAAGCTTTGGTGAGTTGCTGCTGTACGTTTTGCAGCCACAGTGCTGTGGAGAAGGGAGTGAGTTTTCTTTGAGGTTACTTGGCCATGGAATGTGGGTGGCACTGATCTTGCCAGTTTTTATTGTCCACCCCTAATTGCCTAGAGGGCACTTAGGAGTCAACCAAATCGCTGTGGGTCAGGAGTCACATATAGACCAGAAAAGGTAAAGACAGCAGATTTCCTTCCCTAAATGACATTAGTAAACAAAATGGGTTTATAAGACAATCGAAAGTGGTTACATTATTGCAATTAAACCAACTTTTTATTGCAGATTTTTATTGAATTCAAATTTCACCAACGCCATGAATGAGATTCGAACCCATGCCGCCAGAATAGCCTAGAATTCTGGAGTTTGAGTTCAGTGACATTACCACTTTCGCACCATATTTATGGTGGGGTGCCAATCAAGTAGGTTGCTTTGTCGTCAGTTCAAGTCACTCTTTTGTAATAGGGATCATTTTGTTTGTTCTGCAGCTTACAACTGCATCACAGCTTGGGCAGACACATTGAGTACTTACAAGGATGGTGGGCAGACCGTCAGTGTGGCTCACCTTTCTCCTCTCAGCTGAAGGAGGGTGGGGATGGGTGAATGAAATGAGGGAAATGAAAAGTACCTCAAAATTAGATAAGTTGATAAAGCTCAGTGCCAATAATAATAACAGATTCCTGTAGCTATAATAACAGATCTGTTAGCAAACATAAATCACCTCAAATTGCTGTGAATCAAATTAATGCAGGGAGGAATTATGGCTCTCTTTTTGCACCTAAGACACTCCCCTTTGCTTCCCCTATCCAAATATTTTACAGTCAATGAAGTACTTTCTGAAATGTGATCATTTTTGTAATGTGGGGAAACAGCAATCTACATTGCATTACAGCTCACCTGCTGTGTATAAATTCAGACACCTGCCAGTCCTGATATGATTAGTGTGGTTTTCATGCATATGGAGACAGTGATGGGGAAAACTGAAATGAGAACAAAAATGTCAGATATATTGCAATCAGGGAAGAGAATATACATTTACATTGTTGTTTGTGTAATCATCAAACTTGGATATGTGGCTTCCTATCCTCTTTTCTGAAGCACTGATAAATATGGTGAGTAGTGGAGGATCCAATTCAGATCCCTGTGGGACATCACTTATCACATCCTAAAGAGATCAAAAAAGGCTTGTTGATCAAAACCCAACTACCTATTTTCAAGAAATATACAAAGTAGAAACAGACTACCCAGTCCAGCTCTTCCTCCACCCATCCTACTTCTTCCTATTTCTATTTCCTCATTTGCTTGTCCATCTTTCCCTTTAAGGCATCTGTGCTATTCGCCTCAACTACTTGTTTAGACAGTTCCACATATCCAATGATTGTTAAGTAAATAAATTTCTTCTAAATTCCCTATTGGGTCTTACACTTACAGCATGACTCGTAGCTTATCTTTGCCTCCTTTACTGAACTTCTGTATAGTTTATAACTTCCTGTTTTTAACTTTGATGCTGTTACAGAGGGGGAATAGCCAAACCCCCCGATAATTAAACTAAAACACAAGATCCAATCTGTTACGACACAGGGGCTCCCTCTAATAATTACCCCCTGGAACACCCAGAGAAGCTCGCCTTTCCCCTCATAATCTGTTAAAAGTTGTTAAAATAAAAGACAATCTCTGATCTCCATTTTACAAATAACAAGAAACAATTTATTTATTTAACCCTGAGTACTAACTGTTCCCTAACTTAACTAAATTCTAATGGAATGCTATTTGAATAAACACAAGTCCCATTTGTAGAAACCTGATTAATAAGAAAACAATAAATTAAAACTTAGTTTCCCCAAACTTGCGCAGACTCTGTCTCTTCTGGAACTCTCTGCCACAAATGCCATTCTTCTGCCAAGTCTGCTGTTAGAAGGATTTCTCTGCAGTTTCATCGGTGAGGTCTTTAACACAAACTGACGTGGTACTTTTGATGGGTCTTTTCAGAGAGCTTACGAAGTTTGTGAGAGCCAGGCTTAAACTACCTTTTAGCTGCAGCTGAATGTTGGCTCACTCTTTCGGATGGCAGTTGGCTCTCCCCCAATTTTCGAAAATGCCCTCATCTTTATTCCCATAATGACATAATAGTATGTCTCACGTAGGATTGGTTCGATGTTGTCAACACGCTCATATTTAAATTTAATTGGCTTCCTGTATCTAGGTGCTTGTTTTAAACTAATTGGCCGAATTCAACATCAAAACAAGACTTCTGTTTTTTCTGCCGTCAGTAAGGCTTTTTTTTTTGATACACTTGTTTCACTTTTTGAGACTATCTGTACTGGCAACCTCCAGATGCTGCTCACAGATATACTTTTTTTTAAATTCTCTAAGCACGCAACAAACTTACCCCTTATAGGGACTACACACTCTTTTCCCCACTATCATTTTTACCAACAAATTCTAGCTTCCTGCCTTCCAATTCACAAATTTTCACAACTTTGCAACAAAGCTGTACTACTGTTTTCTCTTTTACTCCTGTTCAGTCCTCCTTCCATATATTGCCTCTAAAAAAACTCAGCATCAGCACTCTTACATCTCAGTCATTAAGTTGTAAATTCAAGCCCCACTTCAGAAGTAACATGTAAACCAGAATAACATTCTGGAGCTGTGCTGAGAGCGTATACAAATTGTGAGGCATTAGGATTTGGGGGATTAGACTCATGGGGGAAGGTAGATACTATGGGTAGACTAGAGGCAATAGTTTCTGAAGAGTAGATTGTGAAGGGGTAGATACTGGTAATATGGGATTCTGGAACATTGAGCTAAATTCTTTTTGGCTAAATCTGAGTTGTCAGTGTTTTGAAGGGATTTTCATCAGGAGGACTGGTGAGTTTTCTTGCGGCATCTTACTAAACTCTCCTCATTAACTACCTGCCCTACCCCAGTGGTGTCTCTCACATCCAATTTTAGCCCATCTTATCACGCGCCATTCTCAAAAGATTTTTCGACTCAGCAGATATCACTGGCATCCCTACTGCCTGCTCCATCTTTAAAGGACCGTTATGCACCTGAACAAACACTGGCCGTCCAGAATTACCCCGCACAGTTCCGGAAATTTCGCCTGGATTTGACAGACAAGGAAATTTTGACACCCACTTTGTGGACAGAGATCTGGGGCCCTTGCTGGTACAGGTGGGACTTCCTCTTCCCCAAGGATCAGCAGTGAAGGCTACAGCACCAGACCATGCCAGCCTAATCCACACTGCCACCCAGGTTAAAACAGTCTCAGTTACCTGGAGGAATGCCCAGCAATGTAGGAAGAAGGCCACTGACCTTCTCCACTCTGCCAGCATAAGCGTCATCATCTTCTCTCCAATACCTCTCACTCATATTATATCTGCTACTGTAATCACCTCCCACCAGGTCTCATACTCTACTACTGTCACCAATGCCCATGACATCTTCACTCACTTGCTGTCAACCAACCCAGTCCCTGGCAGCACTAACCCTAAATGCCTTCAAGTGCTGCCTAATCGCACACTCAAGGTAACTTCCCACCTGCACCAAAAGTAACAACAAGGCTATCTACTTTCATCTGTCTTATTATCTGCATCTCTCTAATTTCAGGAGCAAAAATGCCCCCCACCCCACTGATAGGTCAGAAAGAGTCAAGATGCCTGGTGGGCTTCCTGATATTTAGATCCTTGCCCATTAGGTGGAGAGCATCCTGACAGTGCCTCAGGTAAGTAGCTGGATGTTTTTAAGCTCCTGGACTGGTATCAGAGGCTACCTTTGATTTACCGTGCCAGGACTCACTGAGCGAAGGCTTTTCCCCTTTGACTTGACTGAGGCCGACTGACAATCATGATAAACTTCCTCCCTTTGTATGTGCAAAACAGGTAATAAAAGCTTGGTGTCTCTGGCTGAGAGGGTGTGAGAAAAAGCAATGCAAGGCAAGGAAGCTGTGAGCATCCAGGTAGGCTCAGAGCAAGTGACTGCCATGGTGTAGTGAGTGAAGAGCGTGGACATGTAGCATGGAGAAGTCCGTGAGCAGGGTGCACATCTCTGAGTGCCCAGTGCTTGAAGGAATGAACAGAACAAATGCTGTGAGGATTTTATTCTGGTTGGAGAATCTAGAACCGAGGTTCATGGCATCAGAATAAGGGGTGAGTCATTTAGGGCTGAAATGAAGAGCAGTTTTGTTGTTCAGAGGACTCTGGATCTTTGGAATTCTTTACCTCAGAGCAGTGTTGATCATATTGTAAACTGAGATGGATAGATTTTAAAATACAAAGTGAATTATGGGATCTGGTGACAGTTCAAGCAGGTGGAATTGACGTAGATGATTAGCTACGTTGAATGAGCAGGCATGAAAGGCCAAGTGGGCGATACTACTCCTTGCTGTATGCTCTAGTGACTTTTCCCTCTTTAACCATTTCCTGATCATATTGTATCATTGAACAGAATGTTTTGGATAAAGCACAGGTGGTTTAACCATCACTACACCTCATCTTTTCTTTGTCATATTCTTTCTTCTTGTGTCCGGGTCAAAATTTATCTCTCAGCCACCATCACTAAATTGATTTTCTGATCATTATGTTGCTGTTTGTGTGACCTTGCTGTTCTCAAATTGACTGCTGTACTTCCTGTATCACAACAATGATTATGCTCCAGAAGTACAAGTCATAAAAGAATCCATGGCAGTGTTAAAAGAAAAGGGAGTTCTTCCCAGTATCTGGCCAATGTTTATCCGTCAAACACATTGAAAGGAGATTATTTAATTATTTATCTAAATTGTTGTTTGTGGGGATTTGCTGCGGAGAATTTGGCTGCTGCCTTATTTACATTGCAACAATGACTACATTTCTAAAATACTGCCTTGGCTGTAAGGTGCTTTGAAATTAGGTCATGAAAGCTGCTATATAAGTGCAAGCACTATCTTTCTTTTACATTCTGATAATTTGTGATCATTTCAGCTTGTTTTACACCTGACCTGAGTTTCTCTGACAGACTGCTAAGGTGTCTAGCTCTTTCTATTTTAGTTTCTGACTTGCAGTGTTTTTTTCAGCCTTGGAAAAGGAAGCCAAGAGAGGCGTCAACATTAGTTAGATTATCTCAACATCAAGGCCATGTCTCTGAGGCTAAGATCTTGTGAGCATAATGTAATTATCAATACAATTTATCAACCCAGTATTTGCTGAACAACATTCAATTATTGAGGATCTCTTGTGAGATTAGTCAGTCTTTCAGCTGTTTCTGATGTCTACCAAATGATTTTGTTAATTCTGTGGGATTTGCAGTTAAGGGAGTTTTTATTGTGCTTTAACAAGATCAATATTCCTACCATGTGTGTTTAACAGACAGCCTGCAGCAAAAGTTTACTGAATGACTCTGATTAAGATGAGAGCTAATTCTGATGCTGGCATTTTTTATAATTTAAAAGGCAGCCCTGAAGGCTTGAACACTGCTCATTTATTTCATTGCTTTACAATGTCTGAGCTCAATGTATTTTAATATTTCATGGGTAAGCCCTGACAACAAAATATGGAATTAAAGGTAAATATTAATCTTGCAAGTAAACTATCGGATCTAAAATCACTTTGAAAATATATTTTTGAAAATTATCAAAAATCTGACATTTTCTAATCTGCAGACATGTTAAAAGACACATCTGCTAGAATAATTCATAATCAACAGTGAATGAATCTGTGGCAGATTGCAGACTGAAATCTTTTGTTTCGTTCATCTCAAAATGTGTTGATTGTGCAATTTGTTTCCTTTGCACCTCCCCTATTTTCACTGCAGTTTCGCCTCCAAATGGTGGGTTGAGCCTACACACTTCAGTGTGGACACCACTTTGGTGAAGGCATTAACACTGTTGAATTTCTGATAGCCAGTTTGTGAAGAGGAAACCAGAAATCAACCTGTTTAGATACATTATGACACATCTCTATAGCTGATGAGTCTTGAATCCAGAACTTTGGGCCCAGACATGGGGACACTACCAAAGTATCACAAGTCCCAAAAAAACATTAGCCCGTCCCTTTGTATTACTAATGCAGTTAGATTGGCACCACTATCATGATGGTAGATAGTGATTCTTTAATCACCTGTTCGAAGGTGGGACTTGACCACATATCTTTTCCCCCAGAGGCAGGGACATTACAAGCGAGACACAATACACCTTTTTAAAGGAAGGTGGAACAGATGAAACCAACCCTTGGTATCTCCACACACAATACAGAGGGTTTCCCTCACCATATTCCCAGTTTAGGTAAACTAGCAAACATGTGGACATAGATTGTCCACAAGAGGTCTGCAGAGAAAAGTTATTTTGTCAGTAGTTGATTTGCCTTTTTGGAGCTCAAGGCCCTAGCTAATACCTTCTGTGAAATTTGCACTTTCAAGTTCCTTTCTGATTGATTTCTACTGGCTATTGCTGCGATTGTGGAATTGGTTGATGCTGTCTGGAATTGTTTAAAGTTGTTCGTCTACAGACAGTCATGTTGCAAATGCTAAAGGAAAATGGCCTGACTTTAAAGATTCTGCACAAGACTGGTGCTTCCAGACATGGATGCAGTAGTACTTGGAAAGTTCAAGGGAATGAGTAGAGATGACAGGCTTGGAGAACGATGGGGAGGATGAGGTAAGAAGATTTCTCCACTGGGGGCCATATCTTCTCTTTGTTTTCAGGGATCA